TCTTCACAGGATCGAGGATGAGATGCGTCGGACGCAGAGTAAGTGTTCTTATCCTTAGACCTAAACATATATCACCCCGCTAATGACCCACAGAGAACAAGGCGACAGGTAAGATGCCCTTTCGATCGAAGAAGGGTTTGATCTAATTTTCAAATCTCCAAATCAGAATACCATTTGGGTCTATTGAAAGGGTATAGTCTTAATATTCTGACTTCAATCTCAAATATAAACTAACAGCTTTTTCAGAAAGCTTGCCCGACTAAGAGCCCAGCTTCTAGAGCCAGTGGGAGGTGCTGGCTCTGGCGGTGGCGCGGGATTCGATGTCAGCAAGAGCGGCGATGCACGAGTGGCTCTTGTTGGCTTTCCCTCTGTCGGAAAGTCTACATTCCTGTCTAAAATCACCAAGACCAAGAGTGAGGCTGCAGCTTACTCTTTCACCACGCTGACGGCTATCCCTGGAGTGCTCGAGTATGGCGGTGCTGAGATTCAGATCTTGGATTTGCCGGGTATCATTGAAGGTGCCTCCGAAGGCAAGGGCCGTGGTCGGCAGGTCATCTCGGCCGCAAAGGTGCGCGGGTTAACTTGTTTGATGTGAGAGAGTACAGAAATACTGACAAGTTTTCTATTTCCAGACAAGTGATTTGATCTTGATGGTTTTGGACGCCACAAAGCGTGCCGAACAGCGAGCCTTACTCGAGGCTGAGCTGGATGCCGTGGGAATTCGGCTGAACAAGGAGCCACCGTATGTATACCTTGCCTGAAGTTTTGCACAGACTCAAAGGCTGATACGATCCCAGTAATATCTACTTGAAAATCAAGAAGGCCGGCGGCATGAAGATCTCTTTTGCGACGCCTCCAAAGAATTTGGATGAAAAGATGGTTTACAACGTGCTCCGTGATTACAAAATTCTTAACTGCGAAGTACTCGTGCGAGATGAGAATGGTATGTGGTGCTTTGATCCAACAACCAGAGCAAATGACTGATTGAGACCCCGTTATAGCTACAATTGATGACTTTATCGATGTGATTATGAAGGACCACCGGAAGTACATCCGCTGGTAGGATTGTCACTCATTATAGTTGATATCCGACTAACAAATGCTAATCTGTCTTCTTTTCTGCCAGTCTTTACGTCTACAACAAGGTCGACAGCATTGGCCTCGAATTCCTTGATGCCCTTGCCCGCGAACCTTACACAGCCGTCATGAGTTGTGAACTTGACCTCGGTGTGCAAGACGTTGTCGAACGCATCTGGAAGGAACTGAGACTAATGCGGCTTTACACAAAACGGTATGGTTCATCTATGACCTTTAGTTCTATTGACATGTCTAATACTTATCGTATGTACAGAAAGGGAGAGGATCCTAAGTTCGATGAGGCGCTCATCGTACGCAAGGACTCCACCGTTGAGGATGTTTGTGACCAGATTCATCGCACAATTAAGGACACATTCAAGTATGCGATGGTGTGGGGAGCGAGCGCAAGACATGTTCCGCAGCGGGTAGGATTGGCACACCTGGTTGCTGATGAGGATGTGATATCCATAGTGGCTAAGTAGAACTTAAGGGTCAAGAACGATGAAAAGACGAAAAGATTGACACGACTACAAAGAGTATGGACATGAAAGTATGGGTTTAATGCTGTTGATTTCATATACCAAGCATGAACAGAACCTATGAACAAAATACACGAAAGAAGATTCACCCAAACAACCCATTAACCTTCAAAACCAAAACTCCTCCTGCAAACACATCGACATACTTAGGCAGCAGCTGCAATGGCGGCGGCGGCGGCAGCAGCAGCAGTCACGTTCTGCTGGCCAATGGTGGGTTGGACACCCACACGCTCCTTGGCGAGCAGGTCGACCAGCAGAGGGCTGGGACGGCTGTCACGCTGAGGGTAAAGGCCAGCCTGGTTGTTCTTGTACTTCAACACAGAGTCCAGGTAGATATCGAAGAGGTAGGATGAGTCGAGAGGACCGCCCTTAGCCTCGGGGTGGAACTGGGTGCTGAAGATGGGCCGAGACTTGTGGATCATGCCTTCGTTGCTCTGGTCGTTCAGATTGACGAAGTACGGCTTCCAGTCTGAAGGCAGAGTTGAAGCATCAACGGCGTAACCGTGGTTCTGGCTGGTGATGTGGCAGCGACCAGTGCTGAGGTCAAGAGCGGGAATGTTGTGGGCCCGGTTTCCGTACTTCAGCTTGATAGTGCGAGCACCAGTGGCCAGAGCCAGGAGCTGGTGGCCCAAGCAAATACCGAAAATGGGGACCTGGGAGGTCTCCATCAAACGCTTGAGGTGGTAGACTGTATCCTGGCAGTGAGTTGGGTCACCGGGGCCGTTGGAGATGAAGACACCATCAAAGTGGTGGGCGACCTTGTGGATGGGGTAGTCGAAGGGGAGGACGGTGACGCTGGAGCCACGGCCGACCAAGCTGCGAAGAATATTCTCCTTAACACCACAGTCGATGACAGCAACGTGGGAGTGAGGATCAGCAGCGGCAACATGGAAAGGCTGCTTGGTGCTGACCTGGCGCACCAAGTGGATTTGCTCAGGGTCAGTGAAAGCCTCGTCCTCATTGGCATCGTACTCCTCGCCGACGGTAATACGGGCCAGCGAAGAACCTTGCTCGCGCAGGTAGGTGACAATAGCACGAGTATCAACACCAGAGATAGCAGGGACACCTTCACGGGCACACCACTCGCCCAGGCTCTGGACAGCAGTCCAGTGACTGTATTGCTCGGCGACATCGGCAACAACAACACCGGCTGCCTGGAGATGGGGAGACTCAAAGTACTTCAACAGTCCATTGGAATCTTTCTCGGCGGAAGGGACACCGTAATTGCCGATCAGAGGCTGGGTGAAAACAAGGATCTGACCACGGTATGAAGGATCGGTCAGGGACTCGGGGTATCCAACCAGGGAGGTAGTGAAGACAGCCTCGCCAGAAATGTTGGAACGGGCACCGAAAGACTTGCCGGAGAAGATGGGACCGTCACGGATGGTGAAGGTTGCAGGCTCCATAGCGGCACGTTGACGCACAGTAGCCATGAAGCGAGCCTGAACAGGGCGCTTCATCGAGGCAAAGGCAGAAGCCCGGGAAGGCATCGCCTTAAAGATGTTGGAGATCATTTTTTTTTTATAAGTAACAATTGTAAATCGGGAGAGAATCTTGAGCTATTCAGTTGATGTTGGCTTTCCAAAGGTGGTCCGAGATATAGTCCTGGGAGGTAAAGATCGAGGGTGCCAAACACATAAGCGCGACTGAGCAGGTGGCAGTCAGGGTATGGTAGAATGAAATGGAGGGGTCGCTATTTAGCGCAACATGAAGGATTTTTTGGGTTGAGATTTTAGAGTAGAAAAATGGGGAAGAAAATGGCACAGAAGGGAAACAAGAGGTTTTTCATCTCCGACTCCGTGGCACGTGCTCTCACCGACTTTACCGTAATCAACCAATCGGAGCGCGTCAAAATTCTGCTATCGGCACCCGGCTCAGGGGATCTGACTCATCCAATCGCCGCTTTCGGCCTGGACAACGGTATCTATCAGGCACAGAGAATTGTTTACCCTTTTCAATGGGATCATCAAATCTATACAACATATAAGTTCAAAGAATCGAAAGATAGGCATCATCAACAATTGAGGTAGCTTGAAGGCCTGGATTCTGTTTACCGTACACCGTACTATTTCCCCACCCAATGGCACATTGCAGTAGCCCTGCATGTTGGGCACACCATTGACCACTAAGAGGTGCTCAATTATCGGTCTTCTGTGTGAGAATGTGAGAAACTCGTCGCTCAATTACAATATCTCGGTAGGTTTGGTTGTGTCACATCCGGAGTTCCAAACGTTTAGGCTCAGGGTGACAACGTAGTGCAAGGGAAACATCACGGCACATTATTGAAATAAAGGTAGCACCAGCTATAAGAAGTACGTTGGATATGAGATAAAATAATCAATACAGGTAGCCTCTCATGTTCTCATATAAAAAGAATTAAACAATGCTTTTGTCTCAATATATATCCTATGCCTTATTGGCATTCCTCCTACCTTCCGCAACTTTTGGACGCTCCATTCTCTCAATCTTCGGAGACAATACCCAGAGCCCACTTCTGAAGTCAGGATGTGATGACGGCACTGGAATTGTCGACCCAGATGGCAAATGCAATGGTACTGGAGTTGTAGACGACCCTATACCTCATGACCGAGAAGGGTTTAAATTCGAGAACCCATCTACAGATTGCAAATATGCGTCTCAACCGCACATTTGGGACTCATTCAAACACCTCGAGAAGGACATGAGCAAACTATTCACACTTATCCACAAAAATGTCAGCTTCACTGTTGTCGGGCATCACCCGATCGCTGGCCGCTATCATGACCTAATGCACTTCTACGTTAACGCTCTGCGTCGAGTCAGCATGTTGTTTTTTGACCATGCAGATCTGTTTGAGATCCACCCCCGGGGAATATATGGCGGATGTAACGCTGAATGGTCAGTGGAGGAGGTTCAGTTTAAAGGCGTGATGAATTCTGGTAAGGAAGAAGATCTTCCCATCTTCAACATTGCTGACTCACTACAGGTGACAAGTTCGATATCACCAATGTCTGGTTCACACGCTGGTATCGTGACCAGATGGTTGAAATTCGCACATACATCGACGCACCGAAGATCATGGAGGCGCTGCACAAGAACGAAATATGGTGGAATGGCACGACCCTTCGGGACAATCTCCAATATATGCCGGGACCAGCAGGAATGCCAGATCTGAAGGAAATCGAGGGAATGATGGGTTATCCAGATGGAAGAAAATACCAGGATTGAACCGAAGTGTGAATGGCGGAGAGTTGAGAAAAAACCTGTGTACCTCATGTATCGAAGTGGTTCAGTGCACGGAGTACTCCGTACTCCGTAGTTCAAATTGAAAAGGGGAAACGTCTAATTTGCTTGGCACCAATTACCCATCAAACTCCCCGCGATGCTCCTCGTAGTTTTCCAAATATGTCCGAGCCAACACCTCGCAAGCGCTCGCGTTTAGCCTGCACCTTATGTCAGTCGCGAAAGCGCAAATGTTCAGGTGGACAGCCTTGTAGCACGTGTGCCCAAACTGGCGCGGAATGCCAATACAGTGCGCGCAAGAAGCGCGCCGGATCCCATAGTCTGTACCGAGCGAGCCTGTCACTCAATGAGCGACCTACAGATGGCTGGCCCAATGCAGTTCCAAATCCTACTAGAGCCGCAGCTAGCGCCACGGTACAGGCTTCTCCCCGCCGTACAAGCAGTTCAGAGGGCGTTACCCTACAGGCCAATTCTGGTGCCGCGTTTGTTCGCAAACTTGGGCTGAAAATTGACCCGGCGCATGCACCAAGGTTGCAATTGTTTGCTTGGAATGTTGGCGAAAGACGGATGTCGCCAATAGTATCGTCGGCGCTTCCTTCGATGCCCGTCACGGCGCCGACGCCGACGACTATCACCAAAATTATCTCACAGGAAGAGATGCGACGGCTAGCCGCGATTTACTTTGAGAAGGTCGATTCATGTTATACATTTCTGGACCGTAAGATGATCTTTACTCGAATCGCAAAGCGCTGGGAATCTTCGTTATCTCCGATGGATTCTGCGGACCACCCCTATGATGCTGTATTATGCGGCGTGGCTGCCTTCGGGTATCTATTTTCGCGGCGTGAAATCATAGCAATGGAACTTCGACTCATCGAGACCGCGCGCATTCTACTAGATAAGAGTATACTTGCAGCGGAAATACCCTCAGTCGATATAGTGACAGGCTGGGTGTTGCGTGCTGCGTATCTACGCATGACAGCCTCACCACATGTTGCATGGATGGCCAGTTGTACACTGATGCATCTCATCGAAGCTGCAGGATTACACCTTGAAACTTCAGATCCAGAAGCAGTAGGCTTGCTTCAAGTATCGCCCGAGGCACGCAATCGCCAAAATGGCGATATACTAGGAAACCGGGGCACCAGCGACCCCGAAACCCGACGAAGACTGTTTGGTATGGCTCGTCACCTCAACACGTGGATTTCCTTCGACCTCGGCCGTTCCCGAGTTGTCCTTCACGGTGCCACAGTCCTCTCTCCTAAAAGAGGACCTCCATCCCGCAACCCACCACTGCAAGCACCACCCCGAGTCCCACGCGCAGACCTCTTCCACCTCCTCCCACTTTCAGAAAACCTCGACCCAACAGGGCCGTCACCACAAGATCTCCCAGAACTTGAAACAGCCCTCACATCAGTCTTGGACATCATCTACTCCGAACCCTCCCTAATCTTAGTCCAATGCAACCTAATGCTATGCATTTACCGCCGTCTCCGCGCTCTAAATCCACATGGCTCATTATCCTCTAACCTTCTTGACCGCGTGCTCGCACTGGCCGGCCGCGGGCTCCGCGCCGCACGAGGAATGGTCGCCTCCACCTGCCCCTGGCACCAAGTGGCCAACGTCCCCTTTCAGGTCGTCTGTTCGCTTCTAGCGATTGACAATCGCGCCGCCTTGGCGCTGCTCGCTGATGCGATGCGGACTCTGCGTGAAGTTCTCGCTGCCTATGATACACCTTCTATGCGTGAAGCGTATTCTACGGCATACCTACTTATCGCGTTACATCAGCGGCGAAAGGAGGATGATACCCGTGCTCTTGCTGAAGTGTTACGGGTCAATGCTGCTGCGGCACCCGCGGACGATCAGAAAGATCAACAGATTGCACGGACAGCGTTTGCTGACCAGAGCCAAAGACAAGAGCAACCTGCGCCAGAAGCGCTGGCATCAGATGCAGAGTTCTCATGGCTGGGTGATTTGATGATTGATATGCCTAGCCTGCAGAACTTTGATCTAGACCAATTTTTAATGACGGATGTCCCATGGCCTTTACCAGAGATGGGAATCTGAGGTTTCAGCTTTCATGAGTTGGCTAGGCTGCAGATTGTACCAATCTCTTTTGAGTTCATCTCACCTCACCACATTTCACCGTTGCTCTTACTCTTACTATCGGGGAGTACCAAGATCACCCTTCCTGATTCCGACGGGCCAACAACTATGACCCCCCTTCGTTTTCTTTCATCTTCACTTTCATCTTATTCTTTAAACCTACTTCTCACGTAGAACGCACTTGATGACCGTGCTAGGATAAATGAAAGGGAGTTGATAGACACACGTATCTCTAAATGTCTCTGTAGTTTCAATACTCAATAAAACAATATAAGAGTGTGAAATTGAAGATCATATTCAAAAGCGATAAATGATGAATGTTGAATATATCTCCAAATAGCATCTGGAGACTTTCTCAAATGGTTTAGATGTCCAGGTGATTGATCGTGTTGTTGCAGTTTATATAGAAGTTTCTCGAACCTTCTAAAGTCACCCACGTCAAGACATTGATCCCTGACGTCACTCACCAGGAGACACTCGGGACAGACTTGACATTCAAGTATATTCAAGTTCGCTTGCAGGCATTTCTGTGCTTCATTTCTTCTCCAATCTTATGTGATTATTCGAATTCCTTTGATTTCAACCTTTAATCCTCAATTCCTTCCACGCACGATCCGCCTTTCTGCCTGGAACCTTCTACATCTCTCGCGAAACACCCTTTCTCATTTCTCAGGATTCTTTTCCCTGTCAGAAATCCCCTTCATAAGCGCACATCTCCGGTTTGGGGCCTACGCTTTTTGAACTGCTTTTTTTCTCTCATAAAACTCAACCTTACCCCGCACTATGGTTGCTGAGACCAAGCTCTACGACGCCTTGAGCGTCAAACCCGATGCCACACAAGATCAGATTAAGAAAGCATATCACAAGGCAGCATTGAAGCACCACCCGGACAAGAACAAAGACAACCCAAATGCCGCTGATAAATTCAAAGGTACGTTACCCCGCACAATTTCGGGCTGGCACACATGACTAACAGTTTCTTAACAGAAGTATCACAAGCCTACGAAGTCCTATCCGATCCCGAAAAACGCAAAGTCTATGACCAGTTCGGTCTCGAGTACCTGATGCGCGGCGGCCCTGCACCGCCCCCGCCAGGGGGAGGTGGAGGCGGCGCAGCTGGTGGCATGCCCGGAGGATTCAACTTCGGCGGCATGCCCACCGGAGGTATGCCCGGCGGTGGAGCCCGGAAGTTTCACTTCTCGACCGGCCCTGGCGGTGGTGGTGGATTCACTTTCAGCAATGCTGACGACATCTTCCGCAACTTTGCCAAGGGTGGGGGTGGCGGCGGCGGCCTCGATATGGATGATGAAGATCTTATCTCGATGCTTGGAGGAGGACTGGGCGGCGGCGGTGGCGGCAGCGGCTTCCGTAGCAGCCGTCCAGGATACTCGAAACCGAAGCGCGCACCTACACCCGAGCCAACTATCATTGAGAAAGACCTGCCACTGACTTTAGAGGAAATTTACAATGGTACCTCTAAAAAGGTCAAGACGAAGAGCAAGACATTTGACAGGATGGGCAAGCTCACTACCAAGGAAGTGACTTTGGAAGCCAACATCAAACCCGGGCTGCGTGCTGGCTCAAAGATCAAGTACAGAAATATTGGGGATCAGGAAGAAGGGGGACGGCAGGACGTACATCTGATTGTAAAAGAGGTATGAGATCGCTCCTGGCTACAGTGACTCAGACACTTTATTGAACCAATTACTAACAACCCTTTACAGATTGATCATCCTACATTCAAGCGTTCTGGTGATAGTCTTGTCACAACGGTCGATCTCAGCCTGAAGGAAGCACTAACAGGCTGGGACCGTATTGTACGCACCATTGACGGGAAGTCAATCCGTGTATCTAAGCCCGGTCCAACTCAGCCCGGCCATGAAGAGCGCTATCCTGGCCTAGGCATGGTGAACTCTAAGAACCCCAGTGAGCGCGGTGACCTGGTCATCCGCGCCAACGTCAGTTTCCCAACTACCTTGACTGCCTCCCAAAAAGACATTCTCCGGGATGTGCTGCCTTGAAACGATTTGATTTAATTGCATATACGTGGCGTTTGGGGTGAAAGGGGTTGTAGTATTTAATGACAATGACAATGACACGAATGAATTTTTGTATGAGGTTTATCAATACCCTCCTTTAGCCTTTACTCAACAGCTAGTAGTCTTCACATTCATGTTTGTATGTAGTATGAATACATACTTCCAAGGTTGGCTGGAAGGTTTGAGGTCATCACGACCAAATAACGTAATCTACATATCCATGGATGTTCCCAGTCTAACCTAATTGAGCGAATGCGGAGAACCAGCGATACCTTGGAGAAATCACCTGCGATTCGTCACTCCTATTTACTCTCGTTTCACTCGATACCCCTTGATTCACTTAAATAAACCATGAAACGAAGAATCACCTTCATCCAGCGCGTCGATGCTAGCTTTGACCCGCAGCAAGCTGTGCTAACCGCATCATCCCTCTCCGTCCGCGACCTGGACGCCGCGCGGGAGGATCGCATTACGGTCGGATTGCACGAGCTTCCAGAGGAGGTGAGGAGGGATTGTCGATGAAAACCCTATTGAGAACCGAGCAACGCTAACCAGGTTGTTTTGTTATGTTTAGTTGCGTGCTGTCCTCGAGCAATCTCATGAGCTTCACCTCCGTTGGGCCTCCGAGAGGTCTTTTGATGCCGTCACGCCATATAGTAGCCGGGTCTCGCCTGGTCTGCATGTGAATTATACTCCTCTCCAGTCGGAGTCATCTTCGTGAGCTCATTCCTATATCCTAGCTTTGGGGAGATGCAATTGACTGATTTGGGTATCGAAAGGGAGGCACTGTGCACACTACTCCGCACGATAGTCGCACCCAGCAAAGACGCTCAATATAAGGATTGCTCGAAGCAGGAGGTATTTCAAGATTGCTCCTTTCCCATAAACGACACTCCATGACCATGTTTTGCACGTATTTGATCTGACCCGGAATTTGCTATACAGGATTCGTTCATTACACCCCCCGCTTCTCTCGACACGATTCGCTTCCTCGGCCTCCCTACAATATTACACCCACCTCCCTTCCATTCGGTCTCTGGTCAAATATATTCGGGATAATGTCTGTTCCCAGAGTCGTGAAGATGGCCCTGAGTGCCATATCCGCGCCGATGCTCTCCTTTCTGCAGACTCGGTCGATATCGACTATGACAACATTTCGCACGCCTTAACTATGTCCGGGCTCTGGACCAGTCCACCCTTGGGTGGTTGGACGGATAAATTTCAGACGCCAGCATCGGCTGACGATCAAATCGAGCTCGGTCTGTTGGGCGCCGAGGCAGGGCTTGAGCCAGAGGAGATCAAGATGGGCGGGCTGTTAGCGGTTGTTGGACAAGACAAGAAGCTAAGTATGTGGGCTCGGCGTTTCTCATATTGCTTGCCTTTTGAATCTGACTGTTTAACTCTGATCATACGGAATGCCTCAACTAACCCTTATACAGAACCAACCATGTTCTCATTCCCCTCTCGCCACCAGTCTCTCACTGAACCATCCAGTTACACCGTCTCCTTCGCTCCCCCAACTGGTCTCCACCCAACAATGTCCATATCCATGCCCCGATCATCACTCAAACGACCACCAGCACCCAGCGACGCAACTTGCGCTCTACACACATACCTCACCCTTCCCTCCACCATCTTCGGAGATCAATACCAGCTTGCAACAACAGATCCACTTTTCCTCGAGTCTCACAATCTCGTAGCTCTGCGTGCTTTAGCAGGCGAAATGGATCTTGAAGCACCAGACTGGGTCGTTCAGCGCTGGGGCTCAAACTGGCTCCTCGAACTAGCTACCCCCCCAGAAGCCGAACACGCGGCCAGCACATCAGACCCCTCAAATTGGACCGCAACTATTCCTCTACACCTGCGCTACCTGCCACCCTCCGAAACAGGACACCGCACTGCCCACATCCCCTGGCCCGTCGTCTTCTGGGCCTGTACTGTCGAGGACAACACGAAGATGGGCGTGAACCCCTTCGACCGCACAAACCTTGGCTGGGACAGCTTGTTCGGTCCGCGAACCCTGTTCTACCAGCTTCAGCCTGCGGGAAATCGTCTTGTTGAGGAGATCGATGTGCCTGTTCTACGACTTGAGGGCGGGGATGGCTACTTCCAGGGTAAATATATTGAGCTTGGCACTTGTGTGGCTATCTCTCTTGGATTTATGTGGGTGCTTTGGCGGCTTGCTCGTGTTGCTTGGTCGTCTGGTGTTGGGAGTAAACGGGCCGAGGCTGCGCATGATAAGAATGATTGATTGGTTTATATGATACTGGACGGTTTACTCACTGGCGTTCACCTTCCCCCTCGTAGTTCTTTACCTGCTACCCTGATTTCAGTGTACCCGTCTTGCCGGTTCTCGATGGGAAATTATAAAGCATGGGGATTCTAGGAGTATACATCTAGAGCCACAATCATGATTCGACCTCATTAATGTTTGGATAGAAAATCTGGAATGTACTGCACAGCAAACTAGGCCTGTCTACGTAACAAGCTAGAGTTGAAGCAACTACTGCCATCTGCCGGAAGTAATGGATTCGAGTGCTATACTTAGCTACATATGCACCGGATTTTAGGCCGCGCGCATGGCTTTCCTTTTCCATTTTAGTGCTCAATCCTTGCCGCTCTTTGCTCACTTCGGTATCGATGTATCCGGCACCCCACCTAATATTGTTCCCCGGTTCCATTCAAAGGACCTAGTCTGTAGTAAGCCCTATAAGGAAACAGTACGGTTGAGAGGCGGATCGTTAACGTTGGAAGGCAGAGTGGTACGTTACCCAATCTTCGAACACTAACCGTGACCAGTTGGCAGTGCATAACACCAAGCAGAAGTTGGACTGAATGGAGTTGAAGAAAGGCACGATGGATATTTCAGTCTGAAAAATCCAATAAATTACTCTATATATGCGACACGAAGTTCAATTTGACTAAAAAATTGACATTCTTCTTCGCACAGACACTTCGGGAGTCAATTCTAACGGTACAGCTTCGCTCTCAATCTGCAACAGCCATGCTCCAAGCATCACCCATCACATATAAGCCGGAGCCGCTTCGCTTGATCTAGCCATCTGAGCAGTTTAGCTCGGGGTAAAAACGGAAAATCAACCCCCGGCGGCGCAATGGGTGTTGCGGTCTTGAATATCAAAAGCAATGACAACCATGGAGAGTATGATCTTCGCTAAAACAAACTAAAACATCGCTATTTCATAGAGTAACCAAATAGGCGATGTTGCATGAGAGAGGTTGTCATATACCATGGTGCCAAGATTTGATTGTAATTATGTGAAACTGGTTGCCATTGATATCAGGGAACTTTAGAGTACACCACACCAGCTTTCAAACGAGTGATTGACAAATCTTCCATACTTTCAGAATGATGTCCTGCCACCGAAAAGGGGCCCACAGCAGTTTAATGAGGATTCTGGAACGAGAATGGGCTCATTCGTACAAGGGGTACTTTTCATAAGACATGGCTGGCCTCAATATAGTAGAAGTTCCACAGTCACAGTTTCATCGTCTCATTTCCCTTGCAATGACATGTCCGGTGTCGATTACTGTCATATATTATGGCTGAGGCTGGGTTCGTTTATTGATTTCTCGTTTCTTGCTTCTCGGGGGGTTGGGGGAAGCGTTCAGTGGATATCGTAGTCTGAACAGGGCTTCACTGCCGTAAGAAACCAAATTACACGTGTGAGTAACAAGGAGATGGGTGGTATCGACTCTATTGCCATGCAAATTTATGCATTTAGCGTGTTGTCTCCACGTTCTCTCCATAGGACTGTTTTCCATCCCTGGTTCAGCGTCGATCATGAATGCTCCATGTAGATCGGTATCCGCACATGAAGTCCAGCTCAAAGCACCACCGCAGGCGGTCGAACAGCGGGCACTGCATCTCGGAAGTGATATCGTATGTCACCAATTTTCCTATCTTGCTTGGGTTCAGTCGGGACTGCCGAGGAGCAGCAAATGGCGACGACCTTGCGAGCCAGCCGAACCGGCGTTGGAATGCCATTAGAATTGCTTTAATTTGGTATGGGCAGGAGTGTTCGTTGTCTATGGTATCTGGCATTAGCAGTCTCCCATGCAGATGCTTATCGAGGGGGGTTACATTTCAGAGGTCTGAGTGTGGCTGAATATAAGATTGAGGGATGCTTGCTCAATCACTTTAATTTAAGATAAATCAGGTGTTTGTGGTGGTGAGTGTTAGTCTGTCGTGGCAACGGGCATTGAGCAAGACAGGTGCAGAGACAGGAGCTTGACATAAAAGCTAGGAGCACATATTCTCTGAAAATCACTATAGCCACGTTTGATACAACATAGATTTTTAATTACAATTATGGAAGTGCAGGTGCCGTTAAATATTTTTTATTTATCCCAGGCAAAGGTTGTTTACACAGTGCAAGCCAGACTACCAGTCCACAGGTTGCTACAGATGCATTTACAGAAGCAGTACATATTGAGGTGACTAATACAAAGTTATATCCATTGAAGTTCTAAATACTGAGGACCTGCTTGGTTTCACCATCAAGGCTACTCATCCTGAACACCACGTAAAGGTGCAAGTCTTGCTGCGCACAGGACCCGTGCAGCTGGGTTGGGGGCTGAGGCGGAGGCAAGAGGGAAGAGACACAAGAGGGAAGATACACTGGGTCGTGGAGGGCTATCTCCGTGGGGTATATCTTCCTGATTCAGATTTCCATGTTATAGAGATCTCAGATAAGCATTGTCCAGAAGCTTGACTCGAACCAAACGATGGATCATCTTATCTAATGAGCAAATAGGCTAGCACTTGACACATTGTGTCCGCTCAACCAAGCAGAACTTACTTTCTCTAATTCCCTCGCTCCAATCTCGCTGATGTGGACCCATTGACGAAGGAGTACCATCTTATTCCAACTGATTGTCTACTCGGAGTTGCCTGCCGGCTTACACCTGCTTTGTGTGGCTTTCAGTAAGGCACAAGACGCGCGTGTCTACTCAATGAATTGAGTGGACTTTGAATTGAGTACTCACTTGGACACGCATACATTTCCTCTAAAGAGAGCTCTTGTTTAGATCGAATTAGACCGCCGCGACGATTCTGCATGCCTCCTAGGATGAAGTCACAGACCCAGAATATCATCCCAGTCCAAATATCTCACAGCCATCTTTCTTATCGAGCTAGATCACGGTTAGAGAACCATTCGACCTCATCCCCCATGAATATTCTTCCTATCAAAAGCAATACGATCAGATTCAGAGACGACCAGGATAACATTAGGGCTGTCCATTGCCTGGTGATGCACAATTTGCTGGCATGGTAAGTATTCAGATACAAAGGATCATGTTCAAAACTCATCTAACTCGCGATAAGGTGTTACTAGGGACTATGTATATACGTACCTACCTAGGTAGTACTTGGCGAAACCCAGGGACCCGGTTTTCAGACCTGCCACCTGTCGAATCGGGTAACACAACGGCTCGGGCCGTACCCACTCGACACGAACCCCCATGGGATGTAGTATGTAGGTATTACCTACCTACGTACTTGATTTCCTCTGCCGGGTGGGGCTTTCCTATTCCAGATGCCACCACTTTAACGAGGGCGCTTAGAGTTAGGCTCACTGAGTAAGCTTTAGTCTGGGCTTAGACTCACTGAGCTGCTCAGAGACACTTACGCAGTATATTAGTCCGGCTATCTGAGCACCCACTAACAGAGCTTCATCAGAGATATCTAATGAGCACTGTGGGGGAACAGGTACCGGCAGATCGTGTGGTAGACCTCGGCTTCGCGGCGCGACTATTCACGGTGACACTGGAACGCCTGGACATCCACTTCGAGGAGCGCCTCAATGGCTCGCTGCCTCATCGCCCCGAAAAGGTACCAAGGGGTGGATATCCGCCGTAGGCGTACTTGAACAAGCAGTCAGGACGCTGAAGGTCACCCGATACTACATCCCAGATCTGCGTTGCTTTCAGGCAGGAATTCATGAAATATTTCTAGGTTGCGAAGTTGTCACTTCCTTTTAGAGGCTCCATGGCCGTGACAGCTCGGTTGGGCGAGTTGTGAACTAGAGTAAACATGGTGATGGCTGAGAGAGCGGGGTAGGTATATATAATCAAGATGGTCAAGATGTTTCTCATATAAGTACAAAGTAGAGACACAACCGAGAGATTGCTACTGGGCTCATATGCTGTTGTTTGTCAAATGAAGATTGATTGTTCTTATACCAGAGGGAATAAGTGATGTATATATACAATGAGAAGATCAAGTTGATTTTCAATCAACTTGGTTCTTTGTATAGACAATGCAGGCCTGAATTCAGCTGGGGCGGCTTGATTCCTGATCTGCGCCAGCCCCATATTGCAACAGGCTCTAGTGAGGGTTCTATGAGGGCGTACCGTTTATATCTAGAACACATAATCACATTATCAGAAAAGAAAATCAAAACATTCCCTAGTTACGGGGTGGTTCCATATTTCTTAGTGCTTCCCCTATTGCCTTGAATGTGGCAATCTGCCGTTCCTGCTCTTCCTGAGGCAGAGCAGCAAAAGCACTTGTTTCTTCGTCCCATTTCCTCACACAGTCCATATTCCAATTGCACCTCTCGACCTCTCCAAAGACCGGGTGATAGAATCGTGGGTGACGGTTTGGCCACGCAGATGCATGGTAATGGTGCTTGACCAACGCCGTGCGCGAATTATGGGTGCCCGAATCCGAATGACCTTGCCCAGCGGCGAACGCTTCAACCGTGAGCACCAGAAACCCCCCGACAACTTTGGACTCTGGTATGTCATGGAACATACTCCATGTTATATCCTTGCCTGTTGTACGGCTCATTTCAGATAGTATTGCGCCTGTAAAGGCAGAAGGCCCGGTGCCTGTGATCACATCATCAAAGTCTAGTTGAAGCTCTGAGATTGGCCTCCCTTGCTTGATGGAGAGCTGATCGAGCCAGTGGAGAATATTCTCTACTAGTCGCATCATCACAGGCTGTCGAGGCTTGCACATGAATGTCCATTGACAGAAGGATTGTGATTTTTGACCTAGTATAGGATGGTCGCGGAAGTGTGGCTCATCGATTTCGATGCCGATAACCATGTCGATCCTGCTCTCATCGTGGCTGCTTGGGATGAATCGCTCGACTGGTCTCAATGCCTCCACGTCTATATCAGCATAGACACCTCCCTCCATGTACAAAACAAGATACCGAAGTAGGTCGGCCTTGATGATCGGAGCCGTTAAAGATCGGTATGTTTTAACGATATCTGGTCGATTCAGCCCAAGGGGTCCGAAATTTGTTTCGACATAGTCGAGGTCATTCTGGTCGGTCAGAACCTCGTACCTATAGCCCGGGTTTTTAGATACCCAGCTGCGCGCTACCTCGATATCACGCCCGTCGAATTCTAATGGATTCACTTTCCAGATCTGCCAGATTTTCTTGGGAAATTGATCGCCAATATTGCTTTTTAGCTGAGTAGAGTACGATTGATTCTCGTTAAAGTCGCGTGACGTTCTGGTGACACAAAAGTAGATGAACAGACACAAAGCCACTAGGCCCCCATGTGTGAATCTGCGTGCCTTCTTCGGAAAGAGACTGGGCAACACGAAATTCTTCTCCAGCATGACTGGGCCTGTGATGCGATTCAATTCAGTGACCTCCTGTCTGGGAGAAGCATCGAGGTCGAGGAAGGAAAAATATTGTGAGTACAGGAAGGTAGAACCTTGATTTCACTCATAAGTATATTACATACAGTACATATCATCGTAATTAACATGTGGTACTCATATTAAGTCTACAATGCATTGCCTCGGGTCACGTTACTACATATCGCCTTCGCAGGCTTGTACTTCATTTGCTAGGTTGTATTGTCGGTACGCAATAGTACCTGTCGCTGGCACGGAAATGGTCAAGGGTTGAAGCTTAACTGATTGATTCATTCCTAGAACAGTGAAACCCATTCAATCATTCGGGCGGCGAAAGCCAATAGTAGAGATCTGGTGGGGACAGTCAATTAAGGATTTAGTCCAAAAAGCCATCCGGATGGAATAGTGCGCACTCACATGCTACCCCAATATTGCGACATTGCAGTGAGATTGTGGCTGCACGGCGTCGGTCATATCGGGTCATACTCCCGAGGTTTGCGTTCAGGCCCTGACTTGTGGGGGAATGGAGAAGGGCCGCGAGGATCCGGAATCAATATGAAACATAACCTACCAGATCTTTATAGGCCTCGGCAAGAGTGGGCACTGGGGTTTACCCGCTAAGACTACTGGATGCGACCACTAGATTCACATGTTACAGAGTTGTATTGAGAGCTGTGTAATTCTTAAGCGTGAAATTTTGGTTTCTATTGACTTCGATTTTTAAAAGCACTCTCTTAACTTTAGTACACTCGCCCGATGCCTATGCTACACCCCTCAATCGAGAATTCTTCACCTCAGTTGTTGAAGACAAGTCCAGAGCGAACCCTCGAGGATGGAAAGTGGAAACCACAGTTTGCCCATATGACGCGCTCTCGGCATGGGATGTCACTCTCCTCTTGCATGCTTCCCTTCCTGCCCACATTCCTTACTGGGCGGACGAATAGCGACAACAACGCGAATGAAAAGCAACGGTCACTTAGTAGGCCCACCGCATATCTAGATGGATTGCGAGGCTTTGCGGCTCTACTAGTCTACTGGGGACATCATCAAATGTGGGCCCACGATGGCGGAGGGGTGGGAAATGCCTTTGAGCTGGCCTACGGTTACGACAACAAGTACTATTTCGCATGTCTTCCTGGTATTCGAATATTGTTTTCGGGGGGGCATTTGGCCGTCAGCGTCTTTTTCGTGCTCTCTGGGTACGTTCTTTCAATGAGGCCACTGGCAAACATCCAGGATGGCGATTACGTTGGACTAGGTAAAGGCCTTTCCTCAGCGGTATTTCGCCGATGGTTTCGTCTATATATTCCTGTCATTTGCACAACATTATGCTATATTACATTTTTGCACTTGTTTAATATCACCGCTGTCCCAAAGCTCCAAGGAAGCTACCGCTCGGAGCTATGGAATTGGTACGCCGAGTTCAAGAATTTCAGTTTCCCTCTCCGAACAGGCGGCGAGCCCTGGTTCACATACAATTTCCATGCTTGGTCTATACCCGTTGAAAACCGAGGCTCTTTGGCTGTCTACACCGCCGTTCTCGCCTTTTCAAGATTTCGCCGCAATGCCCGGCTCCTAGCCGAAGTCGCGTTGGTTGTGTACTTTTTGTACATTGCGGATGGATCACATTATGCTATGTTTATTGCCGGCATGCTTCTAAAAGATCTCGACCTCCTCGCCATACGAGGTGATTTGCCCCACTTCTTTCTCAGACTGGATCGCTTCAAGACAGCCATCATGACTGTTCTGTTCTATGCAAGCCTTTATCTTGGAGGGGTTCCCTCGCATACGGACAATTTGCAGCAATTACGTGACTCATCAGGGTGGTATCTCTTATCCTTCCTCAAGCCACAGGCAGTGTTCGATTACAAGTGGTTCTACCTGTTCTGGGCCGCTGTATTTCTCGTCGCATGCACATCTCACCTTCAGTGGCTTAAGACATTCTTTACCACTCCATTCAATCTGTACTTGGGCCGTATTTCGTTTGCATTCTATCTGGTTCACGGACCGGTTCTGTGGACTTTGGGTGACAGGCTCTATGCTGCAGTGGGTTTCGTACGCGATTCACACCCTGAGAATTGTCCCTGGTGGATTAATCGCCTCCCCTTGCCTAACGTTGGTCCTCTTGGGCTTGAAGTCAACTTTCTCGCCGCGAATCTGATTCTGCTGCCCTTGACTATTTGGCTGGCAGAGGTCGCAACTAGACTAATTGATGAGCCCGCGGTGAAGTTCTCTCAGTGGATCTACCAAAGGGCGCTGAGTGACAAAACCTGACAACCCCCATGATCTGCCTGGTTTGTTTTGAGTGACTAATGCAAAGCGTTCTTCTAAATGGTAAATTGCTGTATAATAAGAATCTTGCCACCGGAAACGAGAGTTGCTCCCGGAGCCTAGGATATCAGTGGATCATAAAATTCTTGTAATGGCATTCGCGAGATTCACCTTAGATTTGGCAATACTTATTTGTAATATTGAAAATTCTCTGCTGGAAGCATTTTCCCTATAGTTTTGCAAAGATATACTGGTGGTAAAAATTGTTAAGAGTTGTGGATGATCGCATTAATCGCTATGGTGGTAAACAAACTATAGCCCCTCAACTCAGTCACTGCCCGTGTCAGTCAAAGCCCCCTTTTTTAGTCAGTGCCAGCGACCAATCTCGGCAAGTTTTTCTCTGAAATAAGACGTCGGACTTATAACATCTTACTGTTAAATCCCGTCTACACTCGCCAAACTGAACATGGTCAAAAAAATAGCCACACACCTGATACTTATTGCAGGGCTATTGTCCACAGTACTCCTTGTCGCCAAATTCCAATCCAACCATCTGGGCTTGCAATCGAGATTTCTTTTTACGGACTATTCCTCAGGTGGTCCATATAGGCAATCACAAATTGATGCCGGACAATCCGACATATCTTGTTCAAGCGTTCACGGCAGCGAAGCTCTGTCCCATTGCCGGGATGGAAAAGTTACGGACGAGGACCGAAGATATCCTGGATTTGACAAGGACATGTCTCAGACGCACCACATAGTATACTCGGCATCGAATCCCGATCGAAAGTATTTTAGGATCAACTTCGGAACAAGATCCGTCTTGAATCCGAGTATAATCCCGCATCCTAAGCTGCTTGACACCTGGATCATCACTGCACAACTCTACAAGCCTACTTCTATTCGGACTACCTCAGTCTGGTACGCCGAACTCGTCTGCAATGCCAAGTTTTCGGATGACAAGGGAGTCTTGAGCTGTCTGGAGCCACCGTTACAATTGCCCATCCCAGCGACCTTTGGTGACGCCGGCAAGTGTCTCGGCGATCTTTCGTACTTTAGTCTCAGCGTTGGGCCTCATGATGCAAGGGTATTCTACGGGCCCGAGATTCCGTACACAATTTACGGCTCCAATTCGTATTTTACATGCTTCGGACAATGGATATCTGACTTTCGAATCTTGGTGGATTGGGGGATAGACACCATAAATGAGCACGAATTCCGGCAGTACCGTGAGCTTCAACGTCCAATGCCATGGAATGCTGTTGAGAAGAATTGGTTTCTCTTCTGGGATGATTCGGGACAAATGTTCCTACACCATGAAATTACACCGGCACGTGTGTTTTCAAAACTCGAACTAGATGGCTCTGTTGGACCAAACTTGGCGCTGACGACCTCTGATTCTGACCAAGAATGCCTGAAGAGATTCTTGCCTCAGACGGGAAAGATTCATCAGGCAACAAACTCGCTGGCTATCACTCTATGTGCACGATCTGACCAACTTTGCCAACCTGATGCGACCAATACATTTGTGCTCTTTATCATCCAACAAAAGACCTTACATGGCCTTCGCCCTGTATATGAGCCCTATGTGGTGCTGATGCGGCGTTCGATGCCATTTGCGATCTATGCGGTCTCGTCGAAACCAACCTGGATCTTTGGTCGCAGCATTAAAGCAGAGAAGCCAGATGAAGATTCTTCCACAGGATTACTAGAAGATACATCCGAGATGCTCTACATGACTAGCATCAGTTGGAAAAGCCACGGCCAAAAATACCATGGGTTCATTGATGACACAATGTTCTTAGCTTTTGGCAGGGAGGATTCAGACGCTGGTGGTATCGACGTCACGGCGGGAGACCTTCTAGCAGAGCTAGGTATGTGCGCGGGATTTTGATTTAATTTCGTTAATACTGTAATCTTTATGCTTGCATGTTTTGTTTTCAATGGGCCTAAAAGTAAATGCGACACTTCTACGATGCGTAGTAGGCGCGTTCGGGGGAATTTAATTTCTGGTGTATATATTCAAAATTACAAAACGATGAAAACGAAGACAAGGATCCCTTGTAGAGAGTATTTTGTTCTAAAAATTTTCTCCGACCTCGTGTCTTCCCCTCTTTGCGTAAATATTGGCTATGTTGGCGTTGTGCAGCGCAATTTGCCACATAATTAATTTCTGAAAGAGTTGGCGAACTAAAAAGAAAAGTTCATATTTTCACATGTTCACCGAATTCTCCAGATTTATTGACCGAGGTTCTCAATTCTTAAACCCCCAGACCTGAGTGTATATCCGTAGAGTCCCTAGCATATGCTAGAAAGTCTAATTAATTAGGGCTTGCGGGGTGTGGGATAGGCCAATTGAGATTTTCTAAACCTCCCTGCTACAACTGGCTGTATGATCTTATTTCGACCAGATATCCGCTGGAAGGAGTTGATTTCCCATCTGGCCGACTTAACCCTCTCGGGAAAAATGACAAGGATCATGATCGACTACACCGTCGTAGGGAGCGTGCGTGCTTTACTGTTATCATCAGAATCGGACAGCAAGCAAATTCTCGTAGAAACCAGCTGTCATTAGGGACAGAATCGCAATCGAGTTAAAATACCATGAGCGGTTTCTCTATACTATTCTAATGGCTTCGGAAGAAGGACTTGTTTCCCCTTTCCTTTTTTTACTCCTTTTTTTCTAATTCGCTGTTGCCGACGTTACATCCAATTTCCGCCACACTTAGCTGCAGGGTGCGGGCATAGCGGGATGCTTGTATGGTGGTGTATTATAATGTCTGTGACGATCCTGCCTGTTTGGTATTTTCTATATAGTCACCCAAAACCTGGAGACGGTAGTCTCACTTGAGGCTATGGAAATATCTAGTGAAGAAATGCACTTCGGAATTCAAATCCCCCCCCCCCCCCCCATTCGATGTTTGAACACATTATTCTAGAATAGGAAACGTATTAAGATAATTGTAGGCTGAGATGGCTTGGTAGAAGCAGTGCCGAATTAAGTATACCAGACAGCAGACAAAAAACCATTATGTTGTCTCTCCCCACAACTATTCAAATAAAGAAGAGCATGCTGGATAACAGGATGACACTACCAACCATCTGAACAGCTCCGGGTGCAATGCCAGAGGCACCGTTGAACTGGGAGGTGCTCAGAGGAGAAGCTGCGTTGATCGCCGACGAAGTCTTGAAGCTTGACGCGAAACTGCCGACCGTGGTAGAATCGGAGCTTGAACCGAGACCACTGACTGTGGTAGAATTGGAGCTTGTCGTTGAGGTTGGGATACCTCCTACAGCAGTCGATGTGGGAGCCGACGTGTCCACCGCGGGGAGAGAGATTGGATAGCCAACACCGGAACACAAGGATTCAACGACGCTGGATACGGCTATAGGACCTAGTTAGACTGGGTCGTACGAAAGGGAATGTGGCTTCTCATACCTTGTCGGTCCGCGACATCACAGGCTTTATTAATGCAGGGCACAATCTCCGCTGCGAGCCCAGGCTTTTGGCAATGGCACGCGAAATCCGTAAGCTCAGAGCAGCCGTCCCCGGCAAGGGTCGTGGTGAAACAAGTAAGCTGGAAGAGGGGAAAAAAACAAGCACGGGTTAGTTAGAAACGAGACACTGAACAGAGATATCGAGCGGACAGGACATACAGAGCATTGGGGGATATTAGATAGTTGAGCTCTAGCGACGATACCGGCGGCGAGCACAACAATAGCAGCAGTGAGACGCATTTTGACTATGGTGCAGAACCGAATAGATGGATAGCCTGGAGTCGGTCTGGCGTGGAGGACATCTAACGCGACCAGAACAGCGAAGTCCGGATGTATGCACGAGACTAGTCTTATATGATTCAGTTCCAACCCACGCTCTATCTCAGGCTACCGGGATACACCGGTTATTATCATATCAGGTCACATTATTGGTCTAAGACTTATCTTGATTTCTCTCCCAAAAGTACAGTCGGCTCGTTTCTCTGGTATTTTGACTAGTGCAAACCCTGTTCCTGGTGCAAAATAATCTAAACGAATGAAATTCAATCATCAGGGGTCTTAAAGCTTGTACGAAGATGGTTTAGTGTGGACGTAGAGAGTCAATTTATGCCCCCGGACTCAAATGACGTTACCCGCACATGTCTTCAATGAAATATGGACCGAGGCCGGGGTATGGGGTAGCCAAGAGACCATTCACTAGCAGGAGAATTAGTAGTGCTAGCTGTACTATAAGCTTTCGTAGCTTACTCAGTTCAATCCTTCACTCTGATCGTACTAAGAAAATCAGATCGCTCATACGATAATCAGTGAGTAGAGAGACTAGGTATAATACTTAATCAGCTTATGTATGATCTGTGAGCGGACTGTTCAGGGGCGTGCTCAATTTTACTCTGAGATCAAAAAGCGGCAAGGTCTGAGCACTAAAACGGAAATGGAAGGCTAAGTGGCAGGAATCAAGCACATAGGTAGAAGGCTATCACCGTTTGTAAAACCTCCGAATCTTCCCAAATACGAGACGCCCTCTTGTGTGCCGTTGACATTCTTGGCACCGTGCCATCCTCCAGGTATGTCTCGAGATATGTGCCTTGGCAGGCGAGAGCTTATTGGATACCAAGGATCAGGGGACTTGGTCACATAAAAGCTTTTGTAGAAGAATATATATTTCTATTGGTCATTTATGAGTCTGTTAAGTGAGTCTGTTAAGAAAATACATAAGAAACAATACGCATAAAACTTGCATGAAGTCTACTTCAACTTTTCATCCACAACGACATAATCACGAATAACAGCTGTGCCATTGACCACACTTGCAATCTGGTCTTCGGTGCATGTCGACTCCAGAGCAAGAATATAGCAGAGCGGATCCGGACTCTCCGGGACCTTGTTCTTGATATGCCAAGTAGACGCAGGTCCCTGCGTGGCATATGAGCTATTGCGTGCAGTATTAACCTTGCCTGTGGCCAAGTCGCGATTGAAGAGCGCGCGGTAAAAGATCTCATATGCAGTCTGTGGCTGGTAGGCCGGGACTTCATGACCAGCATCGTAGACACGGGTGAAAGAAAAGTTGCCATGCTGCCGAACCTGGCCGCCAATATACGAGGAGTTCGTGCGTAGAGGCGTGTACCCGGCAGATCGGAAACCAGAAGCACCGGCATGTTCGACCAGCAAGCTGGCGTCTTCGCCGCCGATCCAGTTGCAGGCGTAGTCGCTGTCCCCGTAGACGAGAGCGACCTTGATACCGGAGTCGAGCACGTACGCCAGATCTTCGAGATAGCCGTGCACGTCAGAACGTGGATAGTCCCCGACGGATTTGAAAGCATTGTAGGCACCATTGCTTGACTCGGTGAAGTTAATAGGAACGCCCAGTGCGCCTTGCACCCAGTGCTGGTTCAGCCAACCCAGGTAGTAGGACGGTGGGAAAGGATCTGGGTTCTTGTGGGTGATGTCATAGTAGCCGCGGCCCGAGTATTCTACGTATGCACCTTCCACGTTGTTGCTACAGAACCTGTCTGCATTTTGGCATGCTTTGTTGACAGTTTCATTGTTGCCGTACATTTGTGGATCGCCCTCTGCGGCCAGCGCGCGACAGTGGAGGATCAGGTCTTTGCATCCGCCGGGGCGACTCCACGCCTCCATGGCGTTATCATATACAGTCTTGTTGATGGCCTGAATATCGAAGGTGTTGTTGTATGCCATTACTGGATAAGTTGGTTGCTGTACTAGGAGATCGATGCAGCCATTGATGATGCCCAGTGTATCCAGGTGAATGTAATGTGCTTCCGCCGAGCTATCGATGCTGCCATTTTTTATCTTTTCGTTTTGTTCCTGGAAGAAGGCAGTGAAGGCCGGGCCATAGCGACCACCGTATGACTCAGTCCAAATGCTAACCCGATCATCATGGGGCTTGTAATGCGGAAACTCAGTGAACCAGGTTTGAGCAAAGTGCCACAATGACCGTGCGGAGTTCTCAGTACTATTAGCCACCGTTGACTTATCTTGGCTAGCCGTCGTGCCGACGTAGAAAGTGTTATTCTGTTCAGGCACTCCGGCCCACTCCGACAAGTTCCAGGCACCTTGAACTTGATCAAAGGTACCGTTGGTCAGGACATCATAACTGAAGCCGACCTGATTTGGCTGGTCAATGTATAGCATGTTGACATAGTTATTCCAGGACCAAGGATTGAGCTCCGTGGAATTGGAGTCCTCGTTGACTATACAGGGCCCATTTTCCTGCATAAGACCAATCATAGAAGAGCTTCCTGGGCCTCCGTTCATCCATATGGACAATGGCGCATTCTTTGGGTTATGACGAGACTCAAAAAACCAGAAAAAGGTGTTGATCGGGTAGTCTTGGTCAACATTTACATCATCCAGAGAGCCTGGGGGTAGATGAACGTAACCCGAATATGATCTCACCCCTGGAGTTGTTTCGCAAATACCAGGCTATGCAATCCATTTTATTAGTATAGGACTATGTAATATAACGAGCATCAATGGATGTCATCTTTAGATAGGAACTTTGAATAGACCCGCACCTGTTTGTATGAGATCTTCACCCCTTTTTGATGCTGCGATTCAACTACTTTCAACCCACCTGGTATGGGCGGAAAGTACTGCGCCGCAGCAGTTGCTACCAGAGCGGCCGTCCACAAGTTAATCATGGCCTGAACAAGTCGAGGGCAGCAAAGCAAAAACTCGAAAGTAGAGTTACACGGAGATGTACTTAGTTGAACCCAAGCGCAAGCGGGGTGAGGGGAAATGCCAAGACAGGAGCACCTGATATATAATGCCCTAGTTATCTTGCACCTATACAAAATTGAATATATTCAACTACTACTAACCATTACCATATCTGTGAAGTGGAATTCTGCAAATAAAGATTCCAACATATTATTCCACTAGCATAAATCCAGACATCTTCGACCAGAAAATTTCCACATTCCGTAGTCAGCAAATCAAATATTTGAACCCCTCGAACATCTTCGCCCTGAAATCCGTGACATTTCAAACAATCTTGACGTGGAACAAATACCGTTGACGTATCTGTGCTGGAGTGTGCGCGACATACTCAGAGTTGTAAAGACCCGAGTGGCTGCTTGAACTCTTTGTTCCGGCGTGAACATCTGGCACTTGGGTCCCCTTGAAATCCGGGTGAATATATCCAGCATCGCGCCATTTTTTATGGATAGTGCCGCCAGCATGGTGATGCGAAAGGGTTGAGGATTTTCCCAGCTCGACTTCGCATAGCAACATCAAGGCTTCCCCTTTCTGTCGGCAATATCCTGCTGACTTGGTGGATATATCGGCAAAGAATACACCGGGAACGAAGTGCTTTCCATCGGTACTGACAATTCCATCGCCACGCAGCCCTTGACTCAAGATCCCTGCAAAGTTGCTAGCCATTGAGCCATGCCACAAAAGTCGCCGGTCTCCAACATCAGCAAGGTTTGCCTTTTCCCACTCGGCAAAACGTTCTGCTTCCCCAGGACGTTCGATACGGAACACGCCGATGACCTCCTAAAAAGGTGAAAGTATTAGATTAGGATTTTGCCAATATAATTTGAACATAGCTTGCCTCAAATTGATACGCGTGATTCGGACTGGAAGTCTTTTCAAGATACTCCCGGAGCATCTCGAACTCAGTCGAATCCTCCTTCACTGTCATCAAGGGTCAGCTTCATGTTTTGGTGTTTTGGTATTTGGCAAAAAGACCCAATAAATTACAATAGGAAGGTAGGAAAAAGATTATATACCTGGGAGCAATTTTGCCAGACCAAGTACTTGGGATATTTGGCTCATGGCCAATGAGGAAGACTGGAATTTTCTTTCCAGAATCTCGCTAGCATCGTGCAACATGAGTAAGAGATCAAGGGATTCCAACTCCTTTCTGATGGTATCATTGGCGTCTGAAAGAAACCCAGTTTTGAGAATCAAGCTTTCGTAGATCCTGCACAAGCTCTTCTTTGCCTGGGAGTGGTCGCCAGGCGCTAGCTCAGGGTTGGTGAGCTCCATCAGTTTGCCCAAAACTGCAATCCCAAACACGAGTCTTTTCTTGTCCACTTTGTTTGCAACCAAAATGTTACGCCCAAGCCTGTTTAGCAAATTGAGGTAGCCCTTGAAGGTTCCTGAGGTGAAGATGATTTTCAAAACATTTTCAATGCTTGTAGGCAACAGGCTGATCTCGCTGGTGAAGACGGGAACATCCCTATGATGCATTTCAAGGACAAACCAGCCTTTGGAAGAAGGAATAGCATTTCGATCTTCCCAGGCTAAACCACTGAGCGACTTAAACTTCTCCTCAAAGGTATGCTTGGCTGAATCAAAACTTCCCATGGCTCCAACTGATTTTGATGCCTCAGACGATCCAAATTGGCACTGCAAGTCCCATGTGTGGAATGTTTGTAATTCGCGATGAACGAGAAGTTGAATGCGCAAAACTTGGACTTGCTTTTTCAAACGAGCTCTGACCAGTGTGGCATCCCAAATCAATCCCGTGACGTCCTGCCAAACGGAAAGCGTACTACCTAATATGAAAAAAGGGTTAGACATTCAAGTGAAAGAAATCCTGTATCGCATCACTAACTCGGCTCTGGATATTTCTCGTCAACCAATTCGATCAGATTCTTGAGGTTGATCTGTTCTTCATCCTTTGCTTTCTTCCAGGAGCTAACTTTGTCATCCTCAATCGAAGATTCTCGCTCACGTTTTTTGCCTTTGCCCTCGGTACCGTTATTTTCCTCCTTGAATATCTGCTTCCTAACACTCTCCGGAACAACCTTTTCGATCTTCTGGAGCAACCAATCTATGTTCACAATTTCGCAGCCTTCTAGTTCGCGGACCCGATCGACTGAAACAAAATCATCCTGTTAGTTAAATTTCAGATTGGAGGCTGCAAAACCTGATGCTACCAACTCTTTTTCGACTTTCTCTTGATATAACTCTCTGTTGTCACCAGATGAGTACATTTACTGACATTAGTTGACGCAAACTTCGCACCACATTTTTCGACCATCCGCTTGATTTGTCCTAGATCATGGGGTGTCATCAACGGATATCTAGGGGGTGCCTCTCTCTCTCTCTGACTTTGCTTTGACTTGAGGAAGAACATACCATGTTGATACCCAGGTATCGTACCACTGGCACCGATGACCAAACCTTTGAGATTGTCGGCCAGCTTGTCTACTGGTTTGTTGGAAGCCATCTTTCCCGATGAAAAAGATTCACACTAATTCCAACTCCGTGAGGGCATTTAAACAAGAACCAAGGACGAAGTACGCATGGAACTGAATCCAGAACATCGTTGTAGAAGAAGCTGATTGCCCTTTTAAATCACTGATGCCACTACATCAATGGCGTTGTCAGACAAACAATCAACAAAGACGCTATCGGATCCTCCTTTCAACCTCCCGGACTTCTCCTTTGACGCCTGAGGCTAAGGACTGTAATGCATATACCCGAAAATATCTAGCAAATTTCAGGTCAAGTGGCTTATCGAGAAGCCTCTCTCTCCGTATATTGCAGTCAAACGAAGGAAAAGAAGATACGCGTGCGTATCGTTCATGATTTACAGAAAAGAAGCTTATGTTCAGTTGAGAGTTGTTGATTAGTTTTGAACTAAAGCAAAGCAATATGCATTGGGTGATAATCAGTGAGACCAGGATGTCCTCGGACTCGAGAATCAAACCAACCACAAGAGACCTCGTATCCTCCTTCTTGAACTCCATTAAACCACAAATCCGATTGATGTTGATAAGAAAGCACCTAGTTGCAGGTGAAATAGTTGAAAGCCACAGGAAGACCAAGATTGACCTTCTCTGCCCAGGCATCCAGATCATACCTCATGCGATTCGAATTGCTGACTGTCCTGCCAGCAACAGGCGCATGGGCCGTGAGATCAAAGCCTTCAGGCTGTTCATACAGCAAAAAGAGGTATCGATGGGGCGCGCTGGCAGGAGGGGGAGCAGGGCCGATGTAATTGGCGACGAAGGGCGCATCGAACGCGAGCGCGGCATTGCCGATGAGCTGGATATCGGACTGAATCCAGTGAAGTATGGGGCTCAGAATTGTGAAGGCGGGGAAAGGTGCATCGATGTCCAAGCTCACAACGAGGTAGGTGGTGGTGGGGTTGGCGCCGGCGAAGAAGAGTTTCGGGGGCTTTTGGGCTGCTGTGGTTTCTATCAGTTCATGGTTCAATTGCCTATTACACGAAAATGGGGGGGGAAAGAAGGGGAGATGAGATCAGGGATTGGACAACGTCGTACACTTGCGGGGGAGCCATGTTCCTGGCTGCACATTCTCGTGAATGCCAATAGTCAAACCAAGGACCTTAGACTTGTCCTCGATGAGAGACATGGCCGCTTTGATGTGGTTGTCCGAAGGCATTTTGGAAGTTTTGAATCCAGATGCGATGAAAGAATGACGGAATCTTGAAAGATGTGGATGTGTATTTTAGAATAAAAGGAACAGTGCTCAAGTGCTGTGGCTCCTTCCAAAATAAAGTTGCACAAGCTTTCGGACTTAACACGGAGTTAAACTTCTGATATCTCTTTCCCTTTTCGGTCTTATAGTTAAAATTCATCAATAGATATGATTGTTCTCGAATGCTACTCAGTCATAGTATAGTTCGTACTACCAGGTTTGAGGACACTGAGCCTTGCTATCTTCCTTTTCCTACATATGTAGTCTTCAGGTTTCCTGCAGATTGAAATTGACATTGAATTTCAGTACAAAAGGCTCAGTCCTCAATCACCTTTGTGACAATTACTCGCACACGACCATTTCCCTCATCGGGGTATGGAGTTCCAAAATCACGAGCAAAAGCAATATCCTTTTCGCTTGTCTCAAACAGCCCCATGTCAAAACGACGAATAAAAGACGCCAGTACTAGAAACAGCTCCGCATAGGCCAAGCTACAATAACACGTTGATTAGAGATTGGAAAGAAAGCAGAACGGCTCAAATAACATACTTCATGCCCACACATATCCGACTGCCTTTGGAAAAGTTGACCAAATATCTATCCAGATGCTCCCCTTTTGCAGCGGCGCGTAGCCATCGATCTGGGTCGAAGGTGTGCGGATCAGGGAAAACTTCAGGGTCCGTGAGAACAAAATAGTTGCTCTCACTGACTGGAGTCTAGATTTCGGTCATGTCAATATAAATTCTGGGATCAGAGCTGGTAATGATGACTTCACATACTCCAGCAGGAATGGTGTGGTTCTTGTAGACCAATGCTTCATTAGGTGCAACACGAGCCGATCGATTTGCAATTCCAGTAGACAGACGTAATGCTTCCCACACAATTGCAGACTATGAGATGAAATTAATCGGTCATTGAGTCTGTAATAAGACCATAAAAAGACTATAAAAAGTGGACTTACCAAATACGGCAACTGTTCAAGCTGCCTCCATGTTGGTTGAGACTCGGTGGTGGGCATGACTGTCCGTAATTCCTCTCGCAACTTTGTTTTGATCGATTCATTTTTCAAAAGATAAAATGCCGCAATAACTAGCGATCGGGCAGTTGTCTCCGTGCCACCGATGATCATAGCAAATCCCTCATTATGAAGGCGAACAGCGCCGCGCATATCCTCCGGCATGCTGGGGCCACACATGACTTCCATGACGGAGCGGGTTTCCGATTTTGGCGACTTGTTTTGCAGGAATTCCTCTGTCCGACGAAGAAGGTCCAACTTCTGGCTCACTAGTGCATACACGAATGGGTCAAGCTTTTTGAGCAACCACAACGGAAGCGAGTTCATTATAGTTTGGAGGACCGGGAAAAAGAATAAGACATGAGTGGATTTGAAGAGCCCGTTGATTCCGTCTCGCACACTCTTGTTGAAGTCATCGTGGTCAAGATTCCCACTGTTGAAACCATAGACATATTTGTGAATGACATCGGAAGCCAGCCCAGCAAAGCCAGCATCGAGACTAATGACCTTATGGAATTCTAAGGCGCGTTTGAAATGATTGTCGAGTTTTTCAATATTTTCATATATCAAATACTCTATGTTGGAGACTGCTTGCCTTGAGAAGTGTTTCTCAACATGCGAACGCCGCTTCCGGTGGTCTTCTGGGGAGATACTAGAAAATCCCGAATCCTTGAGATCGAATCGAGCGACCAACTCAGCGGACTTTTCACGTCTGCGCTTGCTCGGGGCATATATCTCTTCGTAATAGCTTGAGTCCTTGATATGCACCTCAAGAGGGGTAATACGGATAATGGGTCCTAATGAAAAATTAGACCTATAATACTTGCATGTGCTTGGTATAATGGACCGTATATCTCATGTAGTCTCTCCATCTCCCAGATAAACATTCCTCCCTTGATAACATTGAAATAGAATTCATAGCCGCTTGTGATGGCTGCAAGCTTTGGCCCGGGAATTTTGCTGAGAGGGTGAAAATACAAGCGATAGATACTTTTGACGGCAATGTATATTACCAGCCCACCTATTCCCATTGTTAGTATACCAGCCATGTTCAAGGTTGCGCAGCAAATGCAAAATCTCAAAGAAAGTTTTTGATAAAAAAAAAGGCAAGTCAGATTTTTCAAGAAGCGTCTCTATTATAGCAAATGATCATATACATTATGAACTCTTCTTTTGGGTTTCGCCACAGAGGGTGAGGGATGAATGCCAACTCAGCCGATGTGGAATCATCGAAAGGCTATTGGCTCATTTGGACTCAGTTTAGATGGCCCAGTTCTGACGAAAATGCAATGATACGATAGCGTAGGGGTAGTCAGAAGACGGGGTACTTGGAAACACCAATGGGAAGAAGGTCAGCATGCGCCAATGGCTACCGTGCATGGCCCTAACCCACATTGGATCCTCAACAGCGGCAATATCGGACTAGATCCCTCAATTGTGATAGTCCATGTGCCGCCTTATTCTTGAGTAATTGATTTTGGGGTATGCTGAGACTAGCCCAGGTTATTGCTACATAGCCTTTTGAGTGCGGTGGAGTCGCAATCTGAGCAGAACCAGGATTATATTTGTAATCACTGTCTGGGGGTTGAAATTAGAGGTCATTCACAACAAAGTGGGAAGACGACTGAAGTCATAGAAGACATTGTCATACTGGAATAACCAGAGAGATGCTGAAAATGAGCCCCGAGCCCTACCTAAAGCTCTGTTTTTATGCGCTTTCGCTTCAAACTTTGCCCCTCCCTTGCCGGACGCACGTAGTAGTCGCATACTTTGAAGCGCTTAGAAAGGGGCGATCTTTTCTTGATGAAAGCTTCGGCAACCGAAAAGAGAAATTCCTTTGAAAACTCGGTGGAGAGGGATCCGGCTTCCGCACTATACACATACATATCCACAAACAGGCTGCAAATTTCAGCAGAATTGGTCGTGTTGTAGAACGCAAAATTGACCGTGTTTTGATGGGGAAGGTAACGCTTTCCGGTTCTTGTATCAGGTGTAGAGCGTTTTTCGATGATTGCGCCGATAACAGAATTCTGAAACTTGGTATCGAGCAACTTGTCACCGAGCACATATGCCTTTGTGCGAAGGTGTATCCCGGCCAGGGGTCGGAAACTCATTATTACTAATATTGGTGCCTTAAGATGCCTCAAGATGCCTGATGGTGCCTGATTATATACCGCCTTTTGGCACCGCTCTTACAGTGTATTGTAAATGAAGCTCTCAAATGGAAGCCTCCCTCCCGGGAAGAAGGGGATTCCAGGATTTGTATAGGTGCGAATAGCGTCATATTTGTGCCCATTTCTTAAGGCATCAATATTGTCGACCTCGGTAGTAATTCAAGGTTTAATTTCTCCCAAGGTCTGTTATGGTAATTCAGGTATTCATATTTTCTGCCGGCAAATATTCAGGCATGTTCAGGCATCAATATTACTAATATTGGTTTCCGACCCCTGGCCGGGATACACCTTCGCACCTTTGCAAGATCATGATACTCCCGGGAGAAGTTTTCTGCTGATCTCTCATCTGTCGCATTTAGACGAGCAACCACGGGGATTTTGGCGAAGTAAAGCCAGTGTGAATATAGAGCAAATGTCCTGGGGTCATCTTCCGGGAGTTCAAGAGTGTACTCGTTGGACTTCTTCCACGATCCTGACATAGCTGTTTTGAAAAAGAGAGAAGAAGCGCAGATGATTGATTCATGGACATGGAAAGGTTCTCTTGATGCCCCAACCGTGATTGTCAGTATCGGTCCTTGAATCCTAGGTCGAATTAGTAGCAGCAAACAGATAGACTTAGTCATGATACTTGCTTCTTGAGGTCTTCTTTCGAGTTTCGCACGGTATTTTGTGCCATTTTGTTTGTGTTTTGAGTGTCGCCCAAGAGGCCTAAGGCATTCGCTTGGGAAGAAAGGCCGATATGTGAGAGTGCTCAAGGTCCTCTCATGAGTCTTGCAAAGGATATGTAGTCGAAAGGTTAAGTACCGATCTGAGATCTCTGAGATGGGTGGGGAGAGGTGAGATGGATGAGCAGAGGAATGGCTAAAGAAAGAAGAGAGAAGAGAAAAGTCGACGACCTAGGAACCGAAGTCCGTCACTTGCTAGCAAATGAATGCCAACAAACAACGTCTTTTGGTTATTGCCGTTCACCTTGTATAGATAGTAAGGTCTTCTAGAAGTGGGAGAGATTTCAAATACATGAAATGTCTTCTTATATTAGATCGAGGCGGCAGAGAAGGAAAAATAAGACGTAAGATATTGCGAGGCACTAGTATGTTGAGAAAAATAATCATAACTCAAGTACCCTCAATCAAAAGCAACAGTATCAAGACAATGAAGCTGTACAAAAGTGATTTATGTGGGCTATTCGTACTATTCCCAAAAGAAAATGTTATAATAGCATAGGCACACTACGAAGCAACGAAGGAGATTATCAAGAATGGATGTAGATGATGCTCCAACTACTGCCATAGAGCTCACTATGTAGCTCTGTGAGGACAAAAGGAGGTCTGACTTAATATGAGTAAGAAAGCAAGGCGTCGCTGCCTTGCTACCCGAATGCATCATGTCAACTAGACTTCCGCACTGGCCCATAAAGCCCAAAGTCCAACCCGACCCAACCCGTAAATGGGCCGGGTTTTGGGCCCATCGATGGGCCTCAAACAATGCAAATATACCGAGAAATCGAGATACCAAGTAAAGATGAACCCCTTTTTTAGTTTTTTTTTAATTACCCTATGTTTAGTACTGTTTCTCACTATTATACCTAAGGTAATATTCTATTAATTTAGATGATTTAGAATTAGTTATTAGGTATATCTCTATATTACGTTTAAAAATGCGAAAAACTACGTTGATTTAGATGATTTAAAAATTACAGAGGTTCTCTAGAAAGTAGTAGTGGTACTCCTGTATGAACCCTAAATATATATCTAAGAGCAAATATCAAAACTAATACTTTCCGCGATATCTCGTCCTCCACTAGTCGGATCTTATTTAGAATTGAAATATATACTATTATAGTTACTATGAATCTAGATTCTAAATTTGAACTTTATACGACCGGTAGAAGATCGTAATACAGTGATTACAGAGGCCGATTTATCAGCGCCGAGATGGGCTTTAATGGGGGCCTCTAGGGCCCCCATTAATAGGCTATGGGTTGGGCTTTGGGCCTGGGGTGGGGGCCCATTTGTGGGCTTTGCGGAAGTCTAATGTCAACCATGTTCTAAATTGTCGTCAGTTGTCTGTGACAATGACGGGGTGAGCGAGATTGACAACCCTAATAGAAACCCAAGACCGAAGCATAAAGAACCCTTGAGAGTTTCTAATTGTTACATGTAGAAATACTATATTTCATTTTCCCTCGGAAGAAAAGGATAGCAAAGTCACAGAAATTCTTAGGTACTTGAGATGAGACATCTGATTTACTTAGGGCTATTTTCCAGTCATATGAAGCATAGCTACAAAACAACGGTACGACGCCGAATTATTGGTCTAAAAAGGAAATTATTGGTCTAAAAGAACTTAATTGACCAAAGCTGAAGATAAAAATCGGAAAATCAAAGGATTGTGTTCCAAGTCCGGGAATCAAGATATAATGCAACTCGAGCGGAAGCTCTCTAAATAAAAAGTAAAAACCCCCGAAGACCTCCGATCTGACCCAGGAACAAGAACAAATACCCCCAATCGCTAAAATGCAGACACGCTAAAATCAAGAAACCAACAAAAAAGACGAAAATCCGTTTTAGGGGGTGAGAAATGGAGATGAGATAGGTATAGAAAATGGAGCCTCGATAGCCCAGGAACTCCGAGATGAGCCAGGTGAGTAGTATGGGAATGTGTGTTGTGAGGGAAAAGATGGAAACGAGAAGGCCGAGGTAAGCGCAAAGAGAAGGCAGAAAAATAATTAAGACGCAAGATCACTCACCCCTGACATGGGGTAAGGTAGTATCCACTTTGGTCCCACCGGGAGACTCCTCGTGTTCTTCGCGGTCAGCAACGCGTGAATATGGCTGTTCGGACTTCTGCCCCTCGGGTTCCTCAAGCCGAGCTTGAAGCTTGGCTTCGATCTCCTCGAGGGTCTCTTCAAGCTCCGGGGTATCATCGATATTGGGTGCAAGCCTGGGGACCTCGGGAGACCTAAAGAGTCGAGGAGATTCGTCGGGTGCAACGTACGTCCCGGGTGTAAGGTGTTTGTTGTCTTCTTTATCTTCTGTGTCTTCTTTGTCTTCTTTGTCCGTCTTGCTCTCCTGCCCACTGGGCTTGGCGAGAGTGTGGTCTTCGAGGGTAATGATGTCCTCAATTTCCGACTCGCCAGCAGAGTGGAACACCTCCTTTTCGGTCTGGAGCTCCGATTTCGTGTCAACAAACTCCTCATCATCGCTCGGGGCAATGATATCTGGGTTACTCTTGGCCTTCTGCGGGGATGGAAGTGCGTGGGGGGTTTCATCCACGTGTTCGACATTCTCTGCCCCTTCAGTGACGTCTGTGCGTGAGGTATCACGGCTTGAACGAGAGAGGGCGGTAGGCGATGTTGACGCACGGCTTGAGGTAGATCCCCCGACGTGATGGCGTGGGTGCCGCGGAGGCAAGGCAGGTGGGGTGCGCGCCGGAATTGTGACCAAACGAGCCCGAGCGAAGCTCGGCGACGCAGGCTTGGTGTCGCTGTTTGTGGTCTGCTCCTCTACCCTCGTAGGCGAGGGTGGGACAATCTCCGCCGGTGTGACCTTGGCATTGGTAACCTCATGGACTTCGAAGTGCTCGTCGTCATCCTCAAGCTCAGGATCATCGTGTAGATCTTCGCAAGCGTTTGCTTTCGCTCTTCTATCCTCCGCCTCCTGGCCCTCTAATTGCCGGACTTTCACATGCTCTTCATTGCCGTGGATAGCAATCGTATCCCATTGAGAGTCATCATTTTCATCCCAGGTACTTCTCGGCGGATGGCTGATAGGCGGTCCTTTCGCGCTGGGAGAAGACGCACGGCTCACTGGCGTGGGCTCAGTTAGTTGTATGTCATCAGTCTGCGTGCCACGGTCGACACTAGCATAGCTCCTGGAGCTCTGCACACTTGCGCGCCAGCTATTGCGCGACGAGCTATCAATGCTGCGCCGCGAGAAAGTGGAATAAATGGGGCTGTCCAGATTGGGTCGAAATTCAAAGGTATCATGATTTGGTCTCACCTTCGTGCCGGCCTCGCGGATAAAAAGCCCCTCCGCCTCCAGCGCCTTCACTCCATATGGATCAGGGTCATCCACGGCCGGCACGCCGAAGATTTGTTGTCCATCTTCCGTCAGCTCCATATCGCCAGGTGTTTCGCCCGGTGGCGGGATGAGACTCTCGTCAGCATCAGAGTCGCCCTGGGCGGCCTTCAAGGTTTGCATGAGAGTTTCGAGCTCGCGGGGCGGATGCCGGACTTTGCCGGAAAGAATCTGGTCGACGGATATCCGTTCGCCGTAGAAGCGCTCGTTCTCGTCGGTTCGCTCAATGATAATCGTGCCATCGACCGCGACACCCGCGTACAGTCCTTTGCTCTTCATGTATGTCCAAATTGGTGCCTGGCGTTTGTGAAGCTCGGATTCGAGGACACCACCTATACCTACGGGTCCCGCAGCTGCGCTAACCTCGGCACCGAGAGTGCAGCGGAATTTCTTGAAAGCTTCCAGCGCTTCATGGGTATTGATGATTACCACGCAGTCATAGATGTCAACGCCGGCGAGGAAGCCGATGCCAGCCGTGTGTAACATGATACCGGATGGCGGGCTCCATTCGCCGGTCTCAGGGACGCGACCCATCAGCACGCCACTACCGCCAGAGCCACTCAACCATAGACCTGTGCGCATGGTTGTGAAGATGGCGATTCCCTTGGCCTTTTGGATGACTTTTGCTGGGATCTTCTGGAGAACGCGCTGCTGCTTACCCTTGGGGCGATTGATTTTGCCATTCTCGTCCGTGCCGGTTGAGGTATCGGGAGCATAGAAGCCGTCTTTGCAGAAGCTGCGCAGGATTCGCGCGGCTTTATCGGCTTCCTTGTCGATCGTCATGGGCCAGAAGGCTTCGGCGCCCAGCTTGTGTGATAGGCGGTTGACAGGGCCACCGAGCTTGTCGACTGTATCCCATGCTTTGTCGAAGCCTTTTTTCGAGATGCTTTTGGTCTTCTCCCACCGATTTGGAGCCATGGCGAGTAACTGCGAAATAGAAGAGTGTTGAATGCTATTATAGGGTAATTGAAGGAGTAGGCAGAAATTTGGATATGCTATGAGCCGCGAGAGGCTGATCAAAGCGTCGATCTATACACGAAGCACTATCTGAAACACGACTTGCGCCGCGAACAGCATGAATACGGACAGATTCTTAATGCGGGAATCCAAGGTCGAAGAGGTCCGGAGATCTGCGGCACCGAGGAATGCGGGGAGGAATGTGTCTGCGAACGTATATGAAGAACCAACTTGATAGGAAAGGAAAGAAATTAGAGGCAAAGAGAAACTTGGAAGTTATAAAAAGGAATTCTAATCGGGGTCAGGCGGAAGGGTTTAATATCTGGACTAGAACAAAAACGTTATGCTCTTCCATGGTTCCAAGTTCGGAGAGGCAATGTCATCATCCATGGATCAGATGGTTTTTTTTGGGGTTTTTTTCAATTTTTTCATTTCTTTTTTTCGTTTTTTTTCCCGGGTTTCTTTTCTTACTGCAGCATTATGTATTTAAATACATACATGTATGGATGTTTTGTACTCCGTATGTATGTACATATATGAATCTATATTCTGTACGCAGTACATACACAGTATACCTTGGTCCAGAGTATGTAGTTTATGTGAGCTATTATTTAGGTAGGCATGTACATGCAATATAGATTGTTCAAGCTCCTAGGGGTTAGAAGTTATACCTATTATACCTACATATGTAATCCTAGCCACATTTATCCACCATTTCTAGGCTTTATCGATACTGTATCTACACCATTTACATATGTTCTAAATCACCTACAGGGGCCAAAAAGGTCACTGGTAAAAAGGAAATGTAACATGCAAGCTGTGAGATTGGAACTCACGCCCGTGAAGATCATAGATTATCATGATAATCACCTAACGCAAAACGTCACGCCTTATAACCACTCGGTCAAACTTCGAAAGTGTCAACACCTCTAGAGACCCACCTATCACACCGCCCATATATCGACCCTACGGCCTACCAAACCAAATGCTCACCAAGTTATGTTTTATGTTGCTCAAAATATATGAATCACCTGTTCAAAAGATGCTCAAGAATTTCAAGGTTAGTTTCTATTCAGCAGGCTAAATTTTGACATGATAAGTAGGCCATAATAGCTACCTGGCGAATCTTAGGCAGATAATAGTTTGACTGGCAGAATATTGTATAATCATACAGTGCGGGGCCAAGGGTGTTAAGATTTTGCGTATATAAAATTTCATAATCTCAGAATATCCCATAGATTTCTAGTGCCTAGTAGGCGCAATCATTTACGCTGCACTACATACTAACTTAATGTAACTAATATATACATCCATGGATATATCTATATAGTCATATAAATACTACGAATTACTACCGTAGATAATAAATTAGTACTTTAATATTTATTAATTATTATTAGCATTACAGCCAAAATACTTAGGTATTTAAACGTAGTACTCGGTACGTGAATGTGCATTACCAGTATTGGAACATTGAATTGATATTGCTTTTAACTCTATACATCTGACTCTCAGAAATGACCAGTCCAGATATTTACCTCACATCCCCCTTGGGAAATTAAAATCCCTGACCCCTAGGACCAGAACGCAAAGGCATTTCCCTGGTCTTTTTTTTTATCTACCCCGTACATGTACTCCGTGCTGAAAAAGAAAAAATATATTCGAAACATAACACGCATTTTTAATGTTAATTTGTTCCATCTTCAAGCCCTAGTGGATCCCGTAGATGACAGCTCAGCCTAGACCTTAGGAGTAGATCGACCACGCTATAGGCAATCTACCTATCCGTCGGCTCGGTTTTCCCTAGGCTAGTGATTCAATGTTTGACAGAGATCTTTTCAGCTGAGAGAGTTGCCAGCGTATATAGTGTATCCCCAGGTAATGATGCAAGATCCTAGATCATTGATGCTGATTTTATAACATATCTACGCCAATGTAGTCAGCTTGATAGGTTAATACAAGAATCATCTACTATATATCCTTGTTTAGTACTTTTGCAATGCTAATCGGATCGTCAAGCTTGGTCTGTGAGGCTCTCGGAACATTTCATCATAACCAATAATAGGGGGTTAGGCACTGTGGCTGACAATAGAAGTATATTATTGCCTCGGGCTGAGATGCAACCTTTGCGCGCTATAGAGTTCCGATTGGTCAAATTAGTTAGGATTCAATAAAAAGATCTTCCAAGCTTGGGTCGAAAGAGTAATACATATTGGCAATACCAGTCCAGCGACCTATATGTACTCCGTATGGGGCGCGGCTATTACTCCATAGTTCCCCGACCACAGACGAGATCTAGCCACTAGCGCCGCCGTGGCGAAATATGATCCACGATGTTGCAGCAGAGTGGCCCCTGCGAACCATGGACAATGTAAATGCTCAATGAATGCCGAATCGAACAACCGATTGAAACTAGTTGGCTTAGTATAAACTATCAATTATAAAGAAATACGTTTTCATTTATATGGAGATCTAGCATCCAACACACACAAATGCCTCGCCACAGTATGGCCATCAGAAACTGTGGGAGAAATACGCAAGACGAATCATCTAGTGGATAACATTTCAAAGGCGATGGTATAAAATCACAGTACAATCAAGAACAAGCTTAGCGCATGCGCATTTACAACGCACCCAGCTCCTTAAGCTTGGAAACAAGGCCATCGACATCCTCGACCTTGCCACCACCCTTTCGTGGCGGGGGTTCTAGAGAACATTAGCTCAATCCCACGTATGAAATAGCAGAGCCACCAAAAGTACGTACCAGTAACATTAAGAGTCTTCAACCGCCGTGTATCTTCGACACCAAAATCGGCAAGCGTCTTCTTCTCGAGGGGCTTCTTCTTGGCCTTCATAATGTTGGGCAAGCTAGCGTATCGCGGCTCGTTCAACCGCAAATCCGTAGTGATGACCATAGGCAACTTGGCGCGGAGAGTCTCAACGCCACCATCAACCTCGTGAGTAATCTCAACGGTACCAGCCTCATCCTTAATCTCAACTTTGCTGGCCTGCGTAGCCTGGGGCCACCCAAGTAGACCAGCAAGCATCTGACCGGTCTGACCCTGGTCACCGTCGATTGCCTGCTTACCCAGCAGCACGAGGTTCACATTCTGTTCTTTCACGACGGCCTGCAGCATCTTGGCGATGGTCAGCGGCTCTGGGCCACCGTCGCCCTTGTCCGGTACGTCGATGTGGAAGGCTCGGTCAGCGCCCATGGCCATGGCGGTGCGGAGGACGTCAGCGCATTTCGGGCCGCCGGCGGAAAGTGCGAGGATATCTTCGACCTTAATGGGGCCCTTGCGCTCGCGAAGGCGGACAGCCTCCTCGATTGAGAGCTCGTCAAATGGGTTCAAGGAGTGCTTGACACCAGTGGTTTCTACACCGGTCTGGGCTTTGTTGATGCGGGGTTTGATCTGTTGCGTTCAGACGTGGGTGTCAGTCGTGATATTCCAATCCCAGAGTGAGTGGTGGGATGGTTCATGGAGACCCTGTTTGTTGAGAGGTACAGCTCCGAGCATCGGTCGCCCGGAGCTGCATTTGGAGGGGCCATAGTTGAATGGGCACTTGACCTACCGCATAGTCAATCACCCGCTTGACAGGCACCAATATCCTTAGGCCGCTCATTTTGTGTAGTCAGTAGTCGAGCAACAGCCAATTCCTGAGTTGATGCAAGGAAGATTGGAGACTGGGGGGAGAAAGCGTGCGGTGACGGAGTGCCAAGCAATAAAAAAACGCCGACGCGGCCCGAGTTTAACCCTCGTCGCACCACTTACTCCTCATAGCAATGTGAGCATTTGCGGCCATCGTGACAACAAGCGCTTGGTGTCGGAGCCATGTAAATCTTACAGGTATCGAGAATCAGCCTGGGATTTGTATTGCTAATGTTTGATTTTTGTTAACCGATTCCAAGTTACTCTCGACCTACAACGCTAGAAATTACATTGTACAATATGTATGACATATGGTGGCATAACCTAGGTACATACTATGTAGACCAGAAGGAAGTGCCTGTATGGGAAGATACAAAGGGGGATTAACAGGGAAAGTAGTATGTATACTCATTCGACTATATTGATATTCTAACTCATTATATATATACTACCAGTTAGCAATCTCTTCCTTTATACACATCGTCGTGCATGATACATTTGTACATTTGTACACCTGCTTTCCCAGTAGACCGACAACTTATGTGGCTACTTCCGAAATGGGATAATAAGGGCCCAGAGCCCTGAAGCAAGCCTAACGGACAAAGGCAATTATGGAAGTACGAGGAAGTCGCTGATGGCCGCAATTCTCTGCCGTAGTCACACCACCGAACCTGCCGAGGTTAACCATACAGCCTACATATTCATATCGTGATAATGAATATGGTTTGGCATTTGACAAGACTGGGAGAAATACCCTACTATAATTAGTTGACATGGCCATAAACTGTACAGTTATGCCCAAGCCTAACCCTAATATATATCTTTTTGTTTTCTAGTGAGTTGTCCCTAATAATAAACTGAAACTCGAAATTGTGCTGCATCATAAATAGTGACCTTCCTATGTAGGTTTTCCAGCTCTGCTGATATGTCCGGAAATATTTCCATATGTAACACATCTATGAACATGTACGCACCTTGGCATGGGTGGAAAAAGTTTCATATTCCGTTGTAGTGCAAATCAAGTATTCACACCAATCACCAAGTTTCTTGTTTGTAGCGGCCAATTTGCTCCATGCTAACAAGATATCCCTCAGCCTGGGAACGGGTGAAAGGTTGCCCCGGCAAAGGAGCTCCTCCATGCTGGAAGGCCTCGATGAGCGCTTCGCGCACGGCTTGAGGCATGCGACCCGAGGAACCACAAATATAAACCGACCCCTGCATATCATGCAACAGGCGGAAGAAGAGCGGGAAGTTCTCGCGTATGGTATCTTGCACGTAGATCTTGCGTTGTTGATCACGCGAAAAGGCAGTAAGTACCTGCAGCGGGATGAGCTTGCTGAGCTCCGTCCACTCTTCCTCGAAGAAGTAGTCAGATTCTTGATTTCGGCCTCCGTACAGGAGAATGGTGGGACCGATTGGTGGAGTGACGCCGGGATTTTGCTCGCGGAAAGCTTGCACAAGGGCTGCCTTCTCCCAGAGCATGGAACGCAGAGGTGCAATTCCAGTGCCCGGCCCAATGAGCACGGTTGCTGCCGTCAGTTGTTGGACTGAAGACTTGAGACCGCCGGGCTGGAGCTGAACTTGAAGGGTGCTGCCTGGTCGGAGGACGGAGAGATACTTCGTACAGACTCCCTCGCGAATTCTCTTGATAACTGTCTGGTACTTGACAATAGCAATGAGTAGTTCGAATTGGGTATTGCCATCAGCGGTCTTCTTGCGTTTTCCGCCGCTGGCAATGCTAAACTGGCGGGCACGCATGATCGGGAGAACGGAGATTGCGTGTTGCCAGGGGATTTTGACAGTATCGAACTCATGCAGGATCTCAAGTATACTACGTCGTGGGCGTGTCGTGTAATCCCATAACTCGTCGAGATATTCCGGATTTGTAAATTCTAGTAACCGCTCTTTGTGCATTTCATCGTTGGTGTAGTGTGCGATTGTGGAGAAGAAGGATCGGCGGGGTATTCCTTTGATGTCAAGGTAATCTATGAGGAGGGCACGGAGGGTGAGATTGGGATATGAATCAAGGCTAGGAATGGGCGGTGGAGATGGAATATCCCCTGTGGGAACGAGAGAGATTGGTTGATCTGCCTGGTCGTTCCAACCCATCAAGTCAATAAGAGTTTGGGCATCAACCGGAGAGCTTTTCGGTGTGATGGCGAGCATGTCCCCGGGAACGTAAGAGACAAACTCTGGGACGGCCAGGGTGATATGGCGCACATCCTGCCAATGCTTTTGCGGAGTCACACGTCGATTTTTAGTCAATGTCGCACATAGCGCGTATGGGATTGGTCGGGAATCATGGTCCAGATGGTTTAGTCCTGGATATTCATCCGAAGAAGCTTGATGTTCATTTGCGACGGCAGCTTGGGGTATTGGGACCGAATCGGTTTCCCCCACCAATTGCAACTTCCACTTTGGTGGGAGCTGCACATCGTCTGGGATCGGGTGCTGTCCAGCAGGGAGAGGATGCCTACCCAGCAAATGTTTTCGAAAATCCGTCATCCATGGTAGGAAGGTTCCCTCGAGTCTGTGTGTCAAGTCATGTAAGCTGTGAACAGATATCTAGCATGATAACTAAATAATACTGACCCTTCTGGATGTTGCTGGTCTGCTTCGCCTGTGGGATAGATCTCGTTTGCACCAAGTTGTAATAGTCGTTTATGTAGCTTGCGTATCGCCCAATTGAATCTATCACAATCAGCCATTGAAACCCACGATAGTGATATAGGTTCCATACTTGGGATATGAGCTATCCCCTAGCCCAAAACAAGTAAAATTCACGCCATTCAAAAATGTAGCAGGCAGCTTCTTCAACAAGAGCGACTTCCAAAATGTCCGCGCATTAGCCGGAAAATCGCCTTGTCCGGTAGTGGAGGCCACAAATATGGTGAGTGTGTATGAAGAAATGGATTGCTATGATTCCACGAGTGTTAGGCCTCTAGAGGATCATTGTTATTGCGGCGAAGTACTTACTGGCTTGCATTGATTCAACTCGGATACATGTGTCGTAAAACGGAGCCGCTCAGTTAAGGCGCCCAACTCCTCGGCCACTTCCTGCGCATTGCCTGTCTCAGAGCCATATAAAATGAGCACGGACCGTTCCCAGGGACGTGGACTTTCGGTGTCGCCCATTCTGCGCTTTGGTATCGAAGTGTCTGAACAATTCTTTGCTGTGCCCCTCCAAAAATCGGCTGACGTCATCCAAAAATCAATCAATCTTATCGAACACCCACCGCCCTATCTACCGTCTACCCAGGTTGATCTTTCTATACAAGCCTTGAATATGTCGGCGTCAAGGCGAATCTAGTTCTATAGTCATCATATGTCGGTCAATATTTGCCCTGAAACTATCTTTTTGTTGGGTTTAAACGAACAAACAAACGCTCCGTCTTGCATTACTAGGCCCTAAAGAACGAGTTCTCGCTGCTCGTTTCGCTTGGACTATACATAGTAACTGGTTGTATAGTTACTCTACAGAGTGGTTCATTTGCTTCGAATATCCCAATCGCTTGGGTTACTGGAGAGTTCTTTGCGCTGAACAGACTGAATAATTCACAGTGGCATTGAATAGATACAAAGAACATGCCTCTTTTGCATGAGTCAGGCCGCTGAAGAGCCATAGTAAGGCTAAATTGAAAGAAAAAAAGGGTATCATGAATCTGCTTTTCAGAAGTCATCGTCGCCGCCACCGCCGCCACCGTCTTCATCACCCATATCATCTTCTCCGTCGTCGAAGTACTGTTCGGCATTGTAATCGCCGCCCATTTCATCATCATCTTCAGAGAAATCGTCATCCATAAGTTCCTCTTCCTGTTCATCATCTCCATCAATCAATGCGGCTTCATCTGCATCTGCATCTGCATCGCCCTCATCCTCGTCGTCATCGCCGCCAGCCGTGCGCTTCGAAGGCCCAGCTTCGTCTTCTTCGTCTTCGAAACCACGCTTCACTCCAGCGACTGAAGCCTGGGCCTGGTAACCATCTAGGGACGCGTCGGGTCGGAAGTTTGGCTGAAGGGTTTGCCATAGCTCGCGGGGGAAGAATTTCAAGACTGAACGGTTCAAGTATGCGGGGTTAGTTGTCTGAAGCCGTAGAAGAACCAAAAAACGCTCGCAGAATAAACTTACAATAAGAGCGTCCGGTGATCTTGGGGAGGGTGCGCCGTTTCTTCTGATAACGGCCGGAATAAGTGGGCATGCCGTGGAAAGCGTCAAAGTTGGCGCGCGCAGCGCTGCCTTTCTTGGCGTTGGAGGATGACGCATCAAGAACAGAGTAAAAGGGGCCCTCGTGAAAGCTTTCGCGCAATTCTCGGTAGTAGTCTACCTGGGTTTGTTCTGCGGGGCTCAACTTTCGAGCAAAGGGGACAGTGTATTTCTGGCGATTGGGCAGGTCAGACTCTGTAGATTTCGACATGATAGAAGTCGGTGCATTGCGAGAGGAGGATTTCCCGGAAAGCCAGGCCAAAGAAGCAAACATACAGGGTACAACGGCGTTGGAGCTGTGTCTGGCTCCCCACCAGGGTCGGCATCCCAAGTAAACTCTGTACCCGGGGGCTTCTTGCCCTTTGGCGCCCCACGACGCGACATAATTGTGATAGTAAGAGGTCAATTAATATGGGTTAGCGAATATGGATCATTCTTCATGATATAACTGTGGAATAGATGATCATGACTCCGGAAAAATACATTTCTTTACCGCCTACCCGAAATAGCACTAGGGCTGGCAGATTCGCTGAATGGCTTCCCCGCGTAGGCGCTAAGATAACAGGTGCAGATCTTTGTTTTGTACTCCGTGCACAATAGACCATTGAACTTGAACTTGTTTTAATTGAACATGAGACTAAATGGGAATCAATAAGCTACTTGCATTTCTTTACTTTTATTGTAACATCATAGCCCGGCAGTCAATATCTGAGTACCGCCAGATTGCACGGGTCCCCAGGGACCCTCATTCACACGCTGTTGTAGCGTTTGCATGATATCTTCAAACCCTTCCACCTGGCCATCAGTTTCTTGCAACCGGCGGTGCAGCGCTACGAGAACATCATGTTTGGCAGTGGCGACTTTCCAAACAACACTTTGGGAATCACCTGCACCACCCCCGACAAACTCTGCATAGGAGCGAGGTGGCTTGAAAAGATATGGGAGAAGGGTGGTCAGCGCAGGTGGAGTGAGAACTGCCCATGCTCCTGATGTGGGGAAAAATCCACTAGTAGCCGGGGATAGCTGGCCCAGACTCTCTTCAGAGGGTAGCTGGAACCGTGATGAATTCGTGTTGGCAGGTGCTGCAGGTGAGGGTTTCCAGTTCGCTGTTGTAATAGCCCTCATGAAAGTTATAGCCGACAAAGCAATATCTTTCATCACTAGGACATCAGCAGCGCCTACGACATTGTCCCAGAAAGTGAGATGTTGGTTGACATAGTGGAAGTAGAGAATGCGCGCGGCAGCTGCTTCGCGGTCCCAGTCAGTTGGGGTTGAGCCGGATGTGTTCAACTCCATTGAATCAGAAATTTCAGTTCGTTGAGGTCCGTGGAAAATTTTTGCTAGAACATCCAGAGCTTCGCCGTTTGGAGGATTGGTGGGAATTGCGAGAACCGGGTTGGCACCATGCTTGCCTGCTTCTACGAGAAGCACTCGGGGAAGTGAAGCTAAAATGGCCAAGTGACCTGTTGGTGCCTCGCCGTGTGCCCATTGCGCAGTAGGAATGACGAGAGATCTGTTAATGCGGGAGATAATCCCATCAAGTAGGGTAGAGGGATTCTGCAACAAGTGGTTGGGATACATCTCAGCGTATCGAGCCACATATGCCATGATTGGACCAGATAAGTAGAGAAGATCCACCGAGTCCAGCTTAGACTCATCGAGATAATAAGTCAACACCTTGGAATGCAGCTTGTGTTCGACAAGGAAGTCGAGGGCAGGGGACGAGAAAGTCGAAGTAGACTGCACAGAGCTTCGAGCGACAAGGCCCGGCCCATCAATTTCTAGCAGCTCGCGGAAATAGTTGAGCAGAGTCATATGCATCAAGACATCGCTTTCTTGGACCATATGACAGGTTGTAAAATGCAGGAGACTACTGCTCTGGTATTTAGCCTCGATTTCCGGAACTTGGGCCATTGAAATGATGTCCCAGCGTAGTTTCCCGGCTTTCACCAAGAAAGTCATTAGCCTGCCCTGCGCTAGCGTTCTTTCGCGTTTAGAAAGGTCACCGGGAGCATCACTCTGGAGGCTACATAGCCCGAACAATAGACCGTAGACATCCTTATCAGTGAACACCCTCCTCCACAAGAGTCCCTGTCCTGCATGACTTTCCTCACCCGTATGCTCATATTCTCCATTTTCCAGATGATTAGCGACATCAACTTCCAAAAGCGCCCATAATGTGTCGAGTGCGGCCTGTGCGACTTCGGTCGAAGATGTTGAAAGCCACAGCTCCACGAGTGAAGCCACTAAGTCTGAATCACCTGCAACTATGGCAGCTTCGCTGGATTTTTGACCAGCTTTAGCCAAAAGTGAGAGAGCTAGGAGATTGATTGGTGGTGACGGGGCCTTGAAACCAGCGACAAGATTGATCGGAGGATCGATAGATTGGAGATCGGTGAAGGTGAAGTAGGCGGTAGCTCTGATTCCAAGGGTTGTAATAGGCGTAGGGTCTTCTTGTAAGATGGGAAGGAGCACGGAGATTTGCGACAGGAGAGTGGCAGGGACCACATGATCGGTGGATTCGACTAGTTGCAACTTCAACTTGTCGATGAGAGGAATGTCCAAGGCCGTGGAGGGGTTCTCCTGGACTTGAGCGAGGTGCGATCTCACTGCATCAAACGTCGAAGGAACTGTCATTTTGATTTCTTGGAATATCTTCAGTTTTCCCCAAAACCAACTCACAGATTTAAACTCGAAATGGATGCCTCTGTGATAGGTGAAGCTCGCCCTTTGCGCCGCGGGGAAAGCTCATACCCGCCTCAGGCATCAACATCAAACCAACCAAACATGACCGCATCAACCAAGCGTATCTATTACTCCGTCCCTCACCAGAAGTTCCTCTACATCCCAGGATTGCAACCTACAGTTATGGAGCCTCCGCAGTGTCTAGTCTCTCAGAAGTCATCCGATTCGGGTCTCCATATTCAGCTACACCCACTTGTTCTCCTCACTGTCTCCGATCAAATTACCCGACACGCTGCCCGACAGCAGCATGGGCCGATAATTGGCGGTCTTCTAGGCCAGCAGAATGGACGAGAGATAACACTCGAGCACGCATTCGAGTGCCCGGTTACTTGCGGACTGAACGATGAGATTATTCTACCAGCGGCGTGGTTTCAAGAACGTCTTCAGCAGTGTACGCGGAACACCCCTAAGATCAATTAGAGTATAAACTGAACATATCACAGTCAAGGACGTGCACAAAGATCCCCCTCTTGACCTTGTTGGATGGTGGTCAACCGCGCCATCGACCGGGCCGAATGACGCCCATCTCCCCCTCCACCGACAGATCATCCAAGACTACAACGAATCTGCCGTCTTCCTCGCCTTTCATCCCTCACAGCTCCAAGATACAGGTTCAAATGGCGGCAAGCTTCCGCTAACCGTGTACGAGAGCGTTCATGAAGGCGAGACCGCCGCTGATGCAAGCAAGGACATGCAGGTCGATGGCGAGGAGCCGGCGTTAAATATCAAATTCAGGGAGCTGCCTTACTCAGTGGAAACAGGAGAATCAGAGATGATTGGTATCGACACTATTGTTCAAGTTTCTGGCACCGCTTCTTTGAATGCGACGCAGGAGTCGACCAAGCGCGCGCAGCAGACAGAACGGACAGAGTCAAATAAGCAGAGCTCGCAGACTGAACTCTCACAAGAGGAAGAAGAGTGTAAGCTTTCATACTCTCAAGGCAATCGATACTTGAATAATACTGACCGATTTAAAAAGTAATCGCAAGCCTCACCACTCGTCTCAATGCCGTCCGCACCCTCGAATCCCGCGTCTCACTTATCAAATCTTACCTCGCCAGTCTTTCAGAAGCGGATTTCAGCTCAGATAGTTCAAAAGACGATACATCTACGACTAATCTGTCACACCCTATCCTCCGCAACATCAACTCTCTCCTCTCGCACCTGTCCATCCTCTCTCCGTCGGAGCAAAGCACCTTCTCCACCGAAGTACTCTCACAAAGCAACGACGTGCTATTAATCTCGCTACTTGGCCAACTCGGCGACAACGTCAAGGCCATGCGCGAACTCGGCCGCAAATCTGCAGTCATTCAGACTGCGCGTCACGTAGCCAACACGCGCAAAGATCCCTCCATGCTGCAAAGGAGCTTCAATGAGGAGTTCTACAGCCAAGGTGGGCGTGGGGGTCCTGGCAGTAGTATGTATCCATGATTGTAGCCAGTTCTCAACTACTTCTACGATCAACCTACGAAATACCCACACAAATAGCAACATGGTGGCCAGGTCTTGGGCCTAGGCTTTTACCTGCTTTGCTTAGATGGCGTTCATTTATGGGCCCATGTCAAGGCCATTTAGACGAGATAACGAATTTTGATATGATTATTCTCCACTTTCCCTTATTGAATCAGTGACAGTAGAGATCGGGTCCAGACAAACGATACTATACAAGAAATGTAAACCCACAGCGATGCTAAGAAAAGGTGCATCAACGGGGAGGCAAATAAAGAAGAAAATAAAAGGGGAATAAGAAAAAGAATAAGACAAAAAGAAAAACGTGCCGCTATGTAAACAGGCGGGTATCCATACCTATCCAAACAACAGGACATAAAAGAAGAATAAAAGCGCAAAAATCTCGAAGTGCTCGTGGGTAGCGTGAGGTAAGAAGAGTGATACGTTTGCAGCTCAACCACAGGGAAGACATGCACATCAAAGCCCTGCTAATATGAGATGTCCACACCGAGTCATAATTGAATCATAGACATGCATCATCAATGATGGTTGTCAGGGTACGGGGGAGGAGGGTGGTAAGGGTCCGGCATGGGCATAGGGACTTGCTCACGAAGAGGACCGTTGGATGGGTAGGGCTGGACCAGCGGTTCCGAGTGCAGGTTTTCATGCCTGCGAAGTGAAGGATCTTCATAAGGTGGCGAGCTTCGCCCGTAAAAGCCAGTTGACGAGTTTTGGACATGGTCATCCAACTCTGACACATACGGCGAAGTGCCCGTAGGCGCGATCTCGGGATTGGGTTGTGCGTGAGCGAGAAGCACATCGCCCTCTTCGTAGGGCGTGTCGCCATAGCGGCCCGTTCGGCCTGCGTGCATGGCTGCTCCGGCGCCATGGTAAACTGTTCCATGTTGAGTGAGTTCGCTGCCCTCTTGGGGTGGCTGGAGGCCTAGTGACTCGTCTTGTGGCTGATAACTAGGGTCTAGTAGACGGTTTTTGCGGCCGACGAACAGCCAGCGGGCACTTCGACCAATGGCTTTGAGGAGGTCCAATGGATTCATGGCATCTATCAAGGCCCTTATGCCATAGCGTCCACCGTGATATACAGACTTGCCGTTCCCGTAGAAATCAGTTATTTCACTCTGATTGGAGAGGGAGTAGGACTTCCATGAGAATGCCCAGAGATGGAGTATAGCAAATATAGCCATCTCACAGTTGATCATTAGCTCCGGGAGCCCAACTTTGAGATCGTTCATGGCGATTTTATCAGTCGCTGAGATAGCACCTTCAGAGACTAGAAGGCTGATGAGTGTCTAAAATGTAGAAACGCGAGTTAATAAACCACTTTATCAGAGATCATGCTAAGAAGACGTACCGACTGCCAGAATGACAGGAAAATGACGAGCTTAATCGACAGGATCTTCAAAAATGGCTGATATTGTTTTATGTCTTGGCTGGTCTGGTGATAGAACTGAATCAAACAGTACATGGCGATAGTGACGGAGACCGATTCAATAACGATGGTCTATCAATGGTTTATTAGCGGATCAATAGGGGACGAAACCTAAGACTTGTCACCACTTGAGACGTACCCAGATATGTGCAAATGCGGGACTCAGCGACGCCTCGCAGTACACCCCGAAAGCCTGCGCGACAACCGCAACGATAGTCATAAGAACGCGCATAACACAGTATTGAAAAACGCCGACCCAGACAACCTGTACAAGGATCAGTATCCTAAACCTCTTCAACATCTGCTCAAGTCCATCATCTTACATTAAACCATGTCAATCCACTGCGCGGGGTCCGCCAGATTCGTTCACCACCACAGCATTTTTGAAGCCAACTCAACGGCCAGAGCCATGCCTTTGGCTGGATTCCACGGAAATAATCCTTCTGGCTGTGTAGATCTGGGGCAATGTAGTGGCACATGAGCGAGAAGAAGGCGGAGATACAGAATGCTTCGTAGCAGTCGCCGATGACCTCAAAGTAGACGGAATCACGGTAGAAGAATATGCTGAGCCATGCGACGAGGGAATAGACGGGGACCATGAATAGGATGCGGATAATACTGCGGGGAAGACGAGGACCATGTTAGCAAGGCTCGTGCGACGTTTTAACTGCTACCCTGGAGAAGGAGACTCACTGTCGCTGTTCAATCGGCTTGCTGTAATGTGTGGCATGTAGCATAATCAGGACTAAAGATACAACACAGGCGACAATAGCGCATGCACCGCCCACCAGGAGCGCGAGAGTATGAAATGTAATACCGCCATCCCAGAGTGCGACCTCCTCAACTGTTTCGGATCAGTCATTGCGAAGTTATTCAAGGCGGGGGCAACGTACTCTTTTCACTCTCTGTAGTATTGCACACTGGCCAGCCCATGATGGCTGGTTGGGAGTGAAAATAGCAAAGAGGACTTGTTGACAGAACCTTTTTTCCCCCTTTATCTTATCCAGATCGACAGGGGAATACGCCACTGGAGATCAAAAAAAAAAGGAAATATTAAGGAAACACAATATATCTCCAGCAAAGAAAAAGGATAAGGCGTTCAAGTGGCTTATGCACCTGTGTCTTGCCCAGACGAAAATCCACCGATTTCCTTGGATCCTCGGGAAGCTGAAAGGCTTGGTCCTTTTGGTCTATTTTTATTTTTTTCCTTGGCTTTTACAGCCCTATTGGGCGGACCCTTGCCTTAGATATTTGGAGGTTTTGATTCTTTGATTCTTTGATATTTTGATACTTTGTTCTTTCTATAACATTTTGCAGTCGCTAGAAGTCTATTGTACATGGCCAATAACAATGGCCTAACTGCAAAGATGCTTGTAACTTTAGAAAGTTCAAGAACGCCATGAATCACCACGCCGGCCACCACGTCCCCGTCCACGAGGTCCGGGTCCAGATCGAGGTCCAGGTCCGAATCGTTCTGGGCCAATGTCCACAAACTTATCGCCATCTTCGAAAGTAATTCGCCGCATCTCATCGCCACCACGACGTGGGAATGTGCCCTTCTGGATCAGTTCATCAAATTGGTCCAGACGTTTGTCGGCAACGGGACGTGGAACGGGAAGGTAGTACAGCTTGGGCTTTGTAGTGGTAGATTCGAACAATTCATCCAGAGGCTTAAACCCCTGCCCAGGTCGTGACGGAGGTGCGGGAGCCGTGGGAGGTGCGTTGGAAGGGCGACGGGCAAGCTTCTCAAGATCGCGGCGCGGGCCCAAGGGAGGAGTACGATTGAAACCTGACTCACGTTGTCCAGAGGGAACGGAGCCCACCTCGGCAAGAGTAGCCGTGGTTCCGTCATCAGATGTCTCATATCTCACTTCCCAACGAGCAGCAGCGCCAGCGCGGTCTCGGGACTTCTCCTCTGTCTCAATCCATTCCTTGATCTTCTCGTCAGGGATAAAATCCGCCCGGAGACTCTTACGATTGCGCTCGTTGGGCCACACAGCCCCATGGACGGCAGAACGAACCCGCGAGGCTGCTGCGACACTGGTGAAACTCACAAAACAGTGGGTTTTGATAGCATCAAGATAGAAGTCAATGATGGCATCGGAATCTGTGGTTCCGGGGGCGGATGCAAGGCTGGCCAGGTGTTTGCGGAGTGCAGTAGGCTGGAGTGGGCGCATGAGGCCATCAATGTAGAGGGCAGAAGTTGCAGGGTGCAACGCGGGGGTGCTATCCGCATCCTGCATTGTGATGTCTCTCGGGGGAGAGGCGGGTTGGGAAGATGCAACGGCAGGTGCAAATAGGTTGCGGAACCGAGCATCTTGCTTGGTGGGGTTTTTGTGCGAGTCTGTTTGTGTCTCAATAGGTTGTTTGTCTGCGTCGTCCTCTGCTTTTTCGTCTTCAGACTTTAAATCACTAAGTCTCTCATCACGAGGGACTGACGCCTCATCGTCCTTCAGCAACACGCGCGGGGTTGATTCCTTTGCACGAGCTTTCCTGTTCGCAATCTCTTCTAGAGTGGGGGCCGGGCTCTGGCTGCGGCGTTTCCGTTTGCGTGTATCTTCCAATACCTCTTCAACTGGGAGAGGTGTCGATAATCCGGTTTCAACCTCTGAGGCTTGGGTAGTAGATGTGATCGATTTTTCTTGGGCCTTTGCGGGGTCCTCGTTCTTCGCAACTTGGGCTGCTTCATCCGTTTGTAGCTGTGAAGGTGCGGCTGTAGGCTTTTCATCTGCAGGGGTAGCTGTCTCTGTTTGTGCCTCTGCAGGCTTTGCGACATCTTCAACCTTTGGCGATTTCATATCGGCTGCCAAAACTGTCTCTCTTTGGGCCGACTCATCTGCCTGCATTTGTCCATCACGAGCTTGATCCGATTCTGACATAGGTGCTGTTGTTTCCTCGGTTTGTGGAACTGCTTCTTCCTTTGGTTGCTCGGGCTGTTCATTTTCTGGTTCTTCGGGCTGCGACTTTGCTTGCGAAACATCATCTGGCGCAGATGGCTGTGATTCGGTAGGGTCTTCTGCTGGTGTTGATGCTGGTTCTTCGGTCGTAACCTGGTCTGTTTGTGAGTCAAGTTCAGTCAATTTGTCAATGAATTGCTGCTTGAGGCGGAGGCCAGTCTGAGGGATGCCGCGCTTCTTGCACTCAGCCTTCAAATCAGCCACTTTCAACGACGAATAGTCAGTCATGATGACAGACTCTCCGCATCAAAGGTCAATCTGAAATTGAAGTTTGAATGAGATGAGATCAATTACTTATATCAGAAAGAATAAGATAATTCGTTGCAGCGCAAGGATTGAATCTGGGGACGCGATGGAAATGCGCGCCGATGATGTAGGACACTAGCCGCATCCGGACTAGCATCACTCTTGTCTGCACAATCCACAGCGCACACTACAACCTTAGAACGTATACTCCGTACGTGCCTCTCTCTTCAATCATTTAGGCAAAAATATAACCTATATTTCAGAGAGATCAAAAAGAAGTTAAAATTGCTAATATTGCTCAAAAACATGAATTAACTATATATATATATATATATATCATAAGTGAATATGCAGTGATGTTGCCGTCGTCAGCCAAAAAGAAAGAGACATTAGTTCCACAGGGGGCTGTTTACAAGTGGGAGGATAGCCTTGCCTCCGGTCTTAACTTGGGACCAGTATTCTGGTAGGTGGGAGTATTTCAAATGCTAAATATGTGGAATAAAATGTACATTATATACGTTAGATCAACCCGTCGTGATATTACTTTTACCACTCTTCCCTATATATTCTTAGAAGCTCATCTTACTATACAATAGGCACTTGAAGTGTAGCACTGCACTTGGAGGGGCAGCCAGCATAGATATAGTATTCACAGTGATCTAGTTATTTGACAACAATGTTTCTAATCAACAATACCCGCTGGCAGCAAAGCCACATAGTCCAATGGCGCCGGCTCAGTGCCACTAGGCATACCGACAATCTTCAAAGTGTCACCCTTGTGAATCTTGATACCCCGGAATTTGATACGAATCGCCGAATGCCCATCCAAATATATAGATGGCGTGTGGCTGAAGGTATCCTCACTATTGCCAATCCATTGGCCGATTTTCCGATTATTCAGATACACCTTCCACAGTGACTGGCCACCGTACACATCATAGTAGTTCACTGCAAGGTCATAGGTCCCGGAGGGGAAGGTTATCTCGGTTGAAGCGGTTCCTGCTGTACTGTTGGAAGTTGTAACAATGACGACAGAACCAGAGGCTGTTTCGAAAGGGCTGACGGTGTAAGGCTTGTAGCCCTCTAGCTTCATATTTTCCGCTTCGATGCGCCATGGGTGATGGCTGACACGCTTAGCCTGATCCGGGATTCCAGAAAGATTGTAATAAAAGTCATTGATCGCATCTCTCCACACAATTGAGTGGCCGCTCTGGTAGTCTAGGAAGTGCCGAACATGGTTGTATCGCTCTGTATCAATTTTGCCGCGAAGTGACTCCCACTGCGTGAGAAAGGTTTGTGCAGTTTCGGCACCGCTGTAGTGTTCATCGTAGAAGTGTTGAATAACTGTCTTCCCAGAGTGCAGACGATGGGTGTATTTCACATGGTGGAACCATAATAGAAGATCGTCTGGTGTGGTATTGATGTTTTCATACATAGCAGCAATCTCATCCGGATACTGACCTGAAAATCCTGTGCCATTTGCCACCGTCCGATCCATTCCAATGCTAGTTTGGTCTGCGCGGGTCCATTGGCCCCAGCCATTGTTGTCTTGGGATGCAGGGTTGGGACCATAGTGAGTGTATAGAATATCTGTTAATGTCTGAATGCCCAAATTCCCACTATATTGTTCGTAGGCGGGCCAAGATTCCATGGAAATGCGAGTGATAGTGTCAAGTACCTTGCGGTCCAGCCCAAAGGTGAGTCTGATCCAGTCTTGCAAAATATCTTGAGCATCGTCTGCCGGGTTCCAAGCCAAGCGACCATAGGCATATAGGTTTGACATGGACAGGTGGCTACCAAGCCAAGTAGTATTTGTACCCACGTTGACAACAGCTGCTGATCCGCCCAGTTTGCGATTAAACCGTTTACCAGTCACAATATCGCGAACGAGTGATGGCTGGTGGTCGACGCGGAGGTCAGAGTCTAAGATTGTTTTCCAAAGAGGAGCAACATAGACCAAATGCGACTGTTGCCCAAGGTATTCTTGCGTAACCTGCAGTTCGATGGCCATGCTGGTGTTGAACAAATTTGCAAACAGTGCCGAGGGTGGCTCACGGACTTGGAAATCAATAGGCCCGAACTTGATTTGGATCACCACATTGTCGTTAAATTCGCCATCTAGACCCTTGAAAAAGTCCACAGCAGCCTTTGCACGATCATCCGTCCAGATTGATTCATCCAGCTGATTGTACACAAACGCGCGATACATAACAACGCCACCGTAGGGCTGTACTTCTTTGGCGAAGAGGTTCGCTGCATCTGCGAGGGTCCTATTATATGTCTGAGGGCCTGGCTCTCCCTCCGAGTCAGCCTTAATGAGGTAGCCAGCCATGTCGGGGACCCGATCATAGACTTGGGTTGTGATATCCGACCACCACTTTATTACAGATGTATCGAGAGGATCGAAAGTGCTGAGCCCTCCATATGTCTTGGGGGATGCGAAATTAAGTGACAGGCCAACTTGTATACCGTAAGGGCGGAAGACATCGGCGATCCGAGCCACGCCGTCGAGGTTTTCGGGACTCAAGAGAGTAGCATTTGCATTGACATTGTTGATGACGACAGCATTGATTCTGATCGAGGCTAAGAGGCGGGCGTATTCAGCAACGCGGGTCAGGTCTTCGACGATTTGACCGTCCTTAAAGAAGATAGAGGGGCCACCATAGCCGCGTTCGATTCTTCCATCCATGTTATCCCATTGATTCACCCAGCGAATAGGCGCAGAGGGATTGGATGCATAGGCGACCTTGGAGAAGTTTCCCTGTGCAAGCATCGACAAGTATTCAAAGGTGCCATAGAGCGCACCTCTCTCGTTCTGTCCAAGGATTTGAACGCTTTTCCCTTTGATGTCGAGCCAAAAGCCATCTTCTTCCAGTTCAGGTACATCTTTCACAGCGCCACAGATTCCCCGATATTGAGCAACCGTGCCAACGATAACGGAGGAAGATGTCTTGCACGTATTATGTATGACTTTCACACCCTTCCCATAAACACCTTTGAGACCATTCTGCAACTCCGTCCCTGCTATATATAGCGGACTTGTCTCAGTGGCATTGAGAGTGACGATACTTGCAGGGAGGTTGGAATGACATTGGCCTGAACAGGGTAATGATGCATACCGCAGCCAACCATTGAGGCCGTTCTCAGCGGCACAAAGGCCCAAAGAGGCAAAAAACAGGAGTGTACGCATTGTAACTAGAGTTTCTAGTCCGGGAGGTGTAGGTATATCTAATCCCCCACTACAGATCAAGTTATCCCTTTATATCAAATTCCCCGCGAACATCATACCATCGGGAGACTCGCCGATGGCATGTAATTTTCGGAAAAACTTCAGGCTAAATGAGGGATCTGTTCAAGCCAAAAAATGCAGACTATGTACAAAGGTACATACTACTTACAGTACTTCCCCGCAAAGATTGCGGAGTTGTGTGGGGGTCGATTTGGTACGGACATCAAAGCGGAGTTTCTTCAGGCCTAGTAAGCTTAAGAGGGCCACTGAGAAAGGGTCCACGGGTATATACTGTATTAGCCTGTTGGGTACTCCGTACTGGGTGTAGCTTCTGGCTAGCATACATGAAATCAAGATCAGCGCCACGAAGCCCAATAGGTACTAGGTGAAGCCTAAGTAGGACAGAAGCGGGCGGACACCTAATCATGGAATGCATTTTGGGTATTACACTTTAGGCTATTTCATGTAACATAGTAGTGACCAAGTATCTTGGCACGCTTATCTATAATATGCCTAATTTGAAAAATCCATAATGCATCATTACTCGTGGGAGAAAGTTTTTTTTGTTCAAGAATGGTTCAAGATTCTATTTTTTTGTTTATGGCTCGCAACAGGGCGACACGCTTAAGCCTCACGGCTCAGGATGTCGGAGTCACCGGCATCGAGGATAGCCATGGCGGAGCAGCGGAAGAGCTTACCGCAAGCGGTACCGAGCTCAATCTATAGGGCGAGTTAGTCCAATTCGCTCTCCGGGATGCCTTGCGGTGATCCCTTCGCTGAGCAACTTCACTCTCCGAAGTGGTAGTTTTGACCGACTTCTTCTCTGAGTAGTGTAGCTGACTCCGAGGTGCAACAGCCAATCTTTCAGGCTGCCGACCCGAAGGAAAGGGGAATGGAACGTACGTTGTTGCCGTTGAAGTGGTGAACGGGGGTCTTGGCGAGCATGGCGTAGTACTCAAGCTCGGACTTGCGCAGAGGAGGGCAGTTTCCGGAGATGAGGACCAGCTTGGCCTTGCCAGAGCGGAGAGTCTTCATGGTGGACTTGGTACCCATGGTAACTGAGAGAAGTTGTTAGCGAATTGCTCATTTGTGCGATCAGAAAGAGCTGCTTACCCTTGCCAGACTTCATCACAAGCGCCAGGCGCGAGGAGAGGGTATCACCGGACTTCTTAGTCTTGACCATTTTGAATGTTTTGAGGGGTTGGCTCGTAAGAAGTTTTGTTGGATGGGTGACTACGGAAGAAGAAAATTCACACGGATGAAAAAAAGGTCAAGTGTGGAGTGAGCCCTAATCGCACGTGATTCATTATACGTGACTAATCACCGCTCTATTCCAAGGTTTTCTGCCAGCGGGACCGGAAACCAAGTTATTCCAAGGCTGCGGGGGTTTTGACTCACTCCATTATTTTATAGTATTAAACCACACCCTGTTTTCAATTTCCCTTTCTTGTTTTCTTCATTCTGCATATTGTCTTTTATTTTATTTTACAATGGCTGAAACTAGTAGTGCCACTACTGCGAAATACCGTCAGTCTATCTCCCCCATTCTTACTTGATGAACCGCATACTAAATCCCGTAGAGAGAGTCGATTCGCAGCCTGAGAACCCTTTTGCCCAGTTGATCGAGGATCAATCCATTGCGATCATCCCTTCCTTCAAACTTGAATCCGGTGTCACCCTTTACAATGTCCCGGTTGCATACACCACCCGCGGAACACTTGCTCCTACTGGTGATAACGTGCTGGTGATCTGTCACGCTCTTAGTGGCAGCGCCGATGTCGCTGACTGGTGGGGCCCCCTTCTTGGTGGTCCTGGCCAAGCATTTGATGTCTCTCGGTTCTTCGTGATTTGCCTCAACAGTCTGGGCAGCCCGTACGGAAGTGCAAGTGCCGTGACTTATAAGGATGGTAAGCCTGAAAATGGCTATTATGGACCTGAATTCCCCTTGACGACTGTCCGTGATGATGTCAACATCCACAAACTCGTCCTGGATGACCTCGGTGTCAAGCAGATTGCTGCGGTAGTCGGAGGATCCATGGGTGGAATGCTCACCTTGGAATACGCATTTTTCGGCAAAGACTACGTGCGAGCTATTGTGCCCATTGCGACTTCAGCGCGCCATTCCGCATGGTGCATCAGCTGGGGCGAGGCACAGCGGCAGAGCATTTACAGTGACCCGAAGTATGACGATGGTTACTATGCATTTGAAGATCCGCCATCCACCGGTCTCGGTGCAGCTCGCATGTCAGCACTTCTCACTTACCGTAGCCGCAACTCATTCGAGTCCCGCTTCGGTCGCAATGTACCAGATCCAACCAAGCCGCGAAACATCAACGGCACCGAGAAGCTGCCCACTCCCCCGAACGAGCACTGGGCCATCCACAACGACGGACACCGTGGTGGAACAACTTCACGCTCGGAGAGCAGACAAGGCTCACCGGCTCCTGTAAACGAGGCCGAGGTCCAGTTCATGGACCCACAATTCTCTGGCACCAAAACATTTGCCCCAGAAGTCGACTCAAAGCCCAAGCTGACTGCATCCGGCCGTCCTCGTCCACCGACCTACTTCTCTGCACAGTCATATCTTCGTTACCAGGGTGACAAATTCGTTAAGCGATTTGACGCCAACTGCTACATCGCCATGACCCGCAAGCTCGACACGCACGACGTGTCCCGCCGCCGCGGCCATCCTAGCACGGACACTGAGGATACTGTCCTCCAGGCCCTCGGACGCGTCGAGCAACCAGCTCTAGTTCTAGGCATCGAGTCGGATGGACTTTTTACCTTCGCGGAGCAACAGGAGATTGCAGCTGGCATCCCCAATTCGCGTCTCAGGCGCATCGATAGCCCCGAAGGCCATGACGCATTCTTGCTTCAATTTGAGCAAGTTAACCGCCACATCGTCGAGTTCTTCCACGAAGTCCTTCCCGATGTCATGGCAAAGTCAGGCGACGATGGTGCCGCTGCTGTAGCCAGTGTCACCAAGCTGACAAAGAGCAGCACATTCGGTGAGGCCGAGGTGGAGGATATCACCGCTTGGTAAAGCGTTGAAACCCCCCAAAAAGTATTGTCAGGCGCAGTTCTTTCTGCAGCCAATCCCATGCTCTAGTCTGGGTCCAGAACCCCTTGGGGTCCGCGACCGGATAGATGTCATGGCGCATCAGGGGAAGTAGGTTGCTGTTCTTTTTTCCGTTCCGCCAGTCAGGGAGATGAGCATCCAACTGCCTCTCCCGTCTCTCACTCGGCCTTTGTCCCTGCTCGAGAAGACTGTCAAAGAAGCATCCAACTGCTCTCCATCAGACCCGCCCTCTGGGTCAATTTCCGGGAGGATAACTCCCTCCGCCGGGGGTGATGGGTCCGTTTTCGGTATTGATAGCCATCGGTTATCTTTGCGACATGCACGTCGCATTTAAATTAAAAAAAAAAAATAGAAAAGACAGAAAATAAAAGATATGGATATATACTCCGTACCGTTTATACCCCTTTCGACTTGAACAAAAAACATTGAACATCAGGTGGCATATCCAGGTTATATTTAAATCTGATAACTCACATCAACTGAGTTTATGTACTCCGTACATATGTACATATGTTGTAGTCATGGCAATCCTCCGTACTCCATAGAGGCTACATACAATATGCAAAGGGAAACCCCCGTTCATTTGAAAAAAAAAAAAAAAGATAAGTTGGCCCGAGCTGAATGGCTGGAAGATTGGGGCCGAGGCGTTCAAGGCCCCTGCGCTATTATGATCATGTCTTTTATGAGAGATGAGATGGTTTCTTTTGTTTAAGGGCAGATAATAGTACTCCGTACTTAGTACTCTTTATATAGAATAGATATTTTCCATTTCCTCGCTCATATGTATAAACAATGCTTAATGATAGTTACTTATGTCTCAAAAGAACACTTTTAGATGGCGGAAAAAAGGCCCCATTGAGTCACACACTAGCACATGCCTCTAACTACATATGTACTTGGCGTCTAGACCCTTTAAATATATGCCATTAATAGCCTAACTGAATACATTTACAGTGGATATTGGTGTCTCTAGAATTCGAATATATTTTTTAAGAAAAAAACGAGACTCCAAGACCCCTAAATTGGGCAAATGTATTGGTTATCTTCATATATGATCCAGCCCTATCTTGTACTCCGTACATATATGTGTATGTATGTATGCAGACTAGCTCTAATATCACTATCTTTTAGCCGCTTGGAAATTACTTTTATTTTCTTTTTTCCCTCCTGTTCCCTTATAATGTCTGCATTCCCCTTCCCCCGCATACCAGACAGTTGTGCCGACAACGCTTCAACCTTCCTTCACATAGTTTAGGAGATTACCTGGATTTGATCTGCAATTATTGGGTTACAGTGAACTCGTGAATCATCAATCTCATTGTTTGTCTACGCTGTTTCCTCCAATATCTCTTGCTTTATCTCATCGAGCTACATTCATACAATTCCTTGGTGAGACTATCGGAGCGTAAACACAGAAGGCCATTTACAACAAGATGGAGCACAAGCTATCAGCAAAAGCAATCAAAATACGCCACCGTCTAACCTTCACCAAAACCAACTCTGCACGAGGCCTGGAATCACCACTAGTCTTGCCCATCGAAGCCAATCCACCAAGCAGTCGTCCCCGATCAGCGACAAATACCGGGTCTCCCACCCAGGAAGAGTCAACCCAGGAGGAGCAAACATGGAAAATCAGTGAGCCGGATCCCAGCCGGGGCTACAGTTTTACAGACGACCCGGGCTATTTCCGTCCTGCATCGCCATTCATCGATCGCCAGGAGATCGAAGAAGACCTCGAAGATGATATCAAACACGCATGCGCCATGCTTTCTTACAGCATTGACCGTGGTCTTTCCACCGGATTGTCCCACCAGAGCGTCATGCCATTCTGGACAGATGGACAAAATCCCGCTGGTCAGCCTAGTGTCAATACAGCTGCTTTATCTTTAGAACAGCATGTCCTTCTTCTGTCGGCGCCCAAACCAATCAAGTCCGAAACAGAAAGCACCAAAAAACATGATTCCGGAGTTGGTATGAGCTTTAATTCGCCCAGCCAACCTATGAGACCATACGACAACAGCGCATCGAGAACAGATACCTCAGCCCGGTTCTACAACAAACAACCCTCCGCCTCACCACCACACAGTCCATCAGCATCAGAACACCGCTCCCGAAGCCAGAGTCTAACAACAACAGCCGAACATAACCAATGGGAGCGTACCTACTCTTCAAGCCTGGTTCCATTCCCATACAGTCCTCCCCAGCTGAACAGCGAGTGGAAACTCGAGCCAATGACGCCAGACAGCCCAGTCAGTTCACTCAATGAAATCGACAGAAAGCTCGAAGCCACAGATACAAATGACAAACCTGAGACATTCTCTCCAACCATATCCCCACAAGGCGTACGCTTCAGCGGGGTAGACAGGACCTGGCGTCGCGCTAGCAGGGACCCCCAACGCCTCAACGAAGAACAAACGACAACAATGCAAGCCAAAGAGCCAAAGCCAATGATCCGCTTCTACAGTTCCCACAACCAACCAGCAGGGACATTCAACTCCCGTGAATGGCTGGAGAAAAATTTCTGGGATCGCGACCCGAGCGTTTACAGCGACGTCTCACTAGCTTCACCGCTGGACGCTGAAACGGGCACAGTCTCAAGACCGGAAACAGGTAACCCGAGATTGGGTAATCCTTCGACGAATGAGCAAGAGTCGCGTGATGGATACCCATCTAGCCGCGCGATGTCTTACTCGGCCTCTTGTTTGGTGGATGAGTCTAAGCACCGGGAACGTGTTTACTCTGTTGATGTGCCCGGTTTGCCGCCTAAAAATAACCGGCGGAAGAAGGCCTCGCTTTTGTTGAGGAAATTGGCGGGACTAGGGATCAAGAAGAAGGAGAATAACAATGAAAATGAGGTCTGCTGATAGGGGCAAGTTATGGGGGCTGTGGGCGTTAGAATATGCATTGCAGGGATTTGGACAGTTGTTTTTTCCTTGATTCCGTCGTGGGAGGCATATTCGTATTTGGGTCTCATGATATAGATGTCTGTTCTGCTCTATGTAGTATATACCCTTTCCTTTTTTTTATCACTTATTATATCTAGTTTGTTTCTGGGGGTATTCTTTATGTTTTTACTGTTTTGTTTTTCGACTTCAGGTCGTGTATAGGTAACACTTTCTCTACATACGGAGTATGTCTATGTACTTTGTAGTCACTGTATATAAAACACCTGGTAGTTTTAACAAAGTACTTTCAAATCGATGATAAATAAAATCACAAATTCCATTTGGAATATAATAAGATGAATCAAGAAATCCCGTAAAACCAAATGCCAAGCCAACCCGATCCACAGATAAAAATAACATCACTCGTGAGACATAGTCCTATATATAAAGACAAAACCTACAGACCGAGCCAGAATCTCGTTTTACCAACGTCAAACTCGCCGTGCAGCTCCTCGGCCCCAGTACCCGTGACGAGAACCTTGTAGGTTCCCTTCTCAGAGATCCACTGCTCACGCTCCTCATCCCACCAGCTGGTAGCCAACTTCTTCTCAACGACCAACCGCACAGTCTTAGTCTCACCAGGCTGCAGGAAAACCTTCTGGAAGGCCTTAAGCTCGCGCACAGGACGGCCGACATCAGTCTTCGGGGGCACGATCCAGAGCTGCACGATCTCGGCACCAGCGACAGAGCCGGTGTTGGAGACAGTCACTGACGCAGTGACGGGCTCACCGGACTCAGTGTATTTGGCCTGTTCGGGGACAGTCTCGATGCTCAAATCCGAGCGTGTGAAGGTTGTGTAAGACAGACCGTGTCCGAAAGCGAAGCCCGGTGCGACATCGCTCTTCTCGAAGAAACGGTAGCCGACGTAGATATCCTCGCCATAGAGGACGCGGCCGCGCTCGGAACGGAAGTTCAGGTAGGAGGGGTTATCCTGCAGGCGGCGGGGGAAAGTGATTGGCAGCTTGGCGGAGGGGTTGACGTCGCCGTAGAGGACGTCTGCGATGCCGTTGCCGCACTCGTTGCCACCGAACCAGGCTTGCACGAGGGCTTTGGTGTTTTGTGCCCAAGGCATTGTGACTGGGGTGCCGGACTGGATGACGACAACTGCGTTGGGGTTCACCTCCAGCACACGGCTGATCAGCTCGTCGCTGCCGGGGGGTAGGTCCATGTGCTCGCGGTCGTGGCCCTCGGTCTCCCATTCCAGGGTGAGACCGGCAAAGATGACGACTTGCTCGGCGGTCTTGGCTTGCTCGACTGCATTGGCGATCAATTCTTCTTGGCTCACTTGTCGGCTGGCACCGAAACGGAAGCCGCCGGGGCCGAAGGCGACAATTCCGCGGGTGTCCAAGTCTGAGGTTGGTGCACTGCCGAACTGGAAGAGAACCTTGTAAGTCTGGCCGGCCTTGAGCTCCTTAGAGCCGATCTCTTCGATGGTGGCGGTGCCGAAGAAGGCGGAGCCTTGCTTCTGGTTCTTGGTGTTGTCGACGACTAGTTCGCCGTCGATGAGAAGTTTGCCTGTGCCGACGACTGTCACGCCGAAGTCGTAGACTCCACTCTCCTCAGGGGTGAATGTTCCCTCCATATCGACATAGTAGGTCATAGACTTGATCTTAGGGTTGACGTAGTCCATCAGGAATCCAGAAGACTCGAGCAGATGCAACTCGTCCACGACCTGTCGGTCCGCACCACAGTCGGGGTGTTCATTGTAGACCTTGAATGTGAAGCCAGGCTTGCCATCTGCGGTCTTCAGGAGGGGACCCAAAAGCGGCAGATCCTGGTAGGAGTACACGCCCTGGCTGTACTTGACCTCTCCATTGGCCTTGGCAGAAACGCCATCGAACGGAGTGACAGTGTAGTATGGAGCCAGAGAGGCTGAACCACCACCACAGTAAGCAGCAATCTTAGCGTTGGGTCCAATGACCAGCAGAGACCCATCTTTCTTGAGGGGAAGAATATCGCCCTCGTTCTTCATAAGCACAACAGACTCGGCAGCAGCGCGGCGCATCAGAGCCTGGTCCTCTGGCCGGTTGAGGGCCTTCTCAGGTGCTCCCTCAGGAATGCCGAGGGGCTCAACCCAGTTCACCAGGTTGAGGATATTGCGCACGCGCTCATCGAGCTGATATTGGGCCACCTTGTTTGACGAGACGGCGTGTGCAAGAGCCTCACCGCGCCAGCGGGTCTTGCCGGGCATCTCGATATCAAGACCAGCAATGATGGCATCAGAGGTACTGTAGGTACCAAACCTATCGATGATAATCAAATGTGAGCCTCGAAACAAAAAAAAAAAAGGTTAACAGAATGAATCCATCACGGTTACTCACCAGTCACTCATAATCATACCCTCCCAGCCCCACTCCTTGCGCAAGATATCATCAATAATAGCCTTGTTCTCGCTAACGTGAGTTCCGTTAACCTTATTATAAGCGGTCATAATGCACTTTGAGCGGCAAATTCGCATAGCCAACTGGAATGGCATCAGGTAAATCTCACGCAGGGCTCGGTTAGTAAGAATGCTGCTGACAGCCAACCGCTCGTGCTCCTGGTCATTGCAGACAAAGTGCTTGAGGGTAGCAGCAACACCCTTCTCCTGCATTGCCTTGCAGAAGTGACCAGCCAGCGTACCGGAGAGCACACCATCCTCCGAGAAGGACTCGAAGCCACGTCCACCTAGCGGTGATCGCTGGGTGTTGATGGTTGGGCCTAGCACAATGTGTGTGCCCTTTGCGATCGCCTCATCACCCATCAATGCGCCGACCTCCGAGAGCAGCTCGGTATCCCAGGTTGCGCCGAGCGCTGTTGCGCAGGGGAAGCATGCTGCTGGGATACCATTGAAGAAACGAGTGCCACGGACACCATTGGGGCCATCAGACATACGCAATGAAGGGATGTTCAGGCGTGGAACGGATTCCGTGTGCCAGAAGTCACGACCTAGTAGGTTGAGGTTAGCCTCAAGCTCATAGCTCTGGGATTGCATCTTTGGCAATGGAAATCGAACTTACCAGCTGTGAGAGCCACCTTCTCACCGAGGGTGAGCTCCTCGATAGCTTTCTCGACGTCAATTCGAGCCATGATGTAATGCAGTTCTCTTTTTGTATGTTATGTGGTTTTTGCACCTGTTCAATTGCTTCAAGATAAGAACGAAGCTGTTATTGAACTTGATGTTATCTTACAAAAAGAGAGAAAGGATACAGTCAGTATCTTAAAAAAAGGGAGAAGAACAGAGTCAACCTTTTATACCCAGAGCTGGAGTCAGGTCCTTTCCAAATGTATGAAGCGTCAGATGGTGAAACCAACCCGTGTAGGCGGGGAAGCTGTAAAGTAATTGCCCAATGACGATGGGTATTCTCAGATCGAAAATTGGTCAAACAAATGATATTTCACGATCTTCAACATATAATCCACTTACTCTCTCAAAGGGCCACGGAGGAAGTTGCGAGACCGAAGTTTAGCCGGCAGGATAAAGTGGGGTAGACGAGTCGGATGTCGGACCGCTAAGCCTGGTGAGCCTGGTGACCAAGTACAACATACCTACATAAAACCAAGGAATTGCAATTTAATGAATTACATAGAGATCCTTTGAGTATTGAATTTCTGTTACATTCATTTAGAAGAAAAAAAAAAAGTACATATGAAGAAGTGAAGTAGTTTGTCCCCAAACACCAGGCAAAATGCAATGACAAGATAGGAAACAGTAGATAGTCCAGTGTAGGGAAAACTTGGTTAGCAAAGAGAAAAAAAAACATCAAAAAGCAAAGGCAAAGTTCCATCATTCCATTTAGGGTATCATGGTGAATGGTGAAAATCATGCTCCTCGACGAGGACGCTTGTTATCATTTCCCATTCTCATGCCACGTCCACCGTCAGTGTTATCATCAGGACCCTGTCGACCACGTTTACGGTGTCCAGAGCCGCCAGAGCCGCTGCCACCATCACGCTGTTGATCCCGGTCACGTCGATCGCCACGGCGTTCGCGCTCGCGATCCCGGTTGTCGGAACGGCTACCCCGGTCCCCAGAATTGAAACGACGCTCGTTTCCTTCCGGCATGGGGGGAGGTGGGGGAGGAGGCGGTGGTGGCGGCGCCTCCATGGAGGATGGGGGGCGCAAGCGGCCTTCAGCCTCATGGGTCTCACTGTTACTAGGGGTTGGTCCGGTCATTTCCGACGACCCATCAGGGCGGTCACGTCGGTCTCGGCGTCGCATCTCTTCGCGCGAGCTCTGCACCCGGCGCAGAGTCTCACGGGGCTCGCCAGTGCCCTTTTCGTCGCGGCTTCCGCCACCTCCTGCATCGCTTCGACGGCTGCGTTCGCGGTCATTTCGACGGCCATCCCGTCGATTGCGACCATTGCTGCTTCCATCACGGCGCTCGTGCTCTTTCTCGCGAGTAGGCTCCGTTTCACGGTTGCGAGTGCCAGTTTGTCCAGAGCGACCAGTCTCGGAAACGATATCATCAATCAGGTCGCCACTTCGGCCACCATTGGGTCGGTTGCGGGATAGATCTTCTTGTAGTCCTGCAGGGCCCATAGGTGGGCGGTTTGCAGGCTGAGGCGATGGTGCCTCCATGGTGCTTGATGGGCGATTGGAGCCTCTTCCGCGAACAGGCGGAGGGATCCCACCTCGGTCACCACCACCGCCACCACCAGACTGTTGGAGCATGTTGTTGAGGCCTGCGAAACGTTTATCGCCACGACCGCGCTCCCCACCGAATCCTTGCCCAGGCGGTCCAGACTGCCCAGATTGAGCAGAAGGTCCTCGAGGTGGTTGTTGTGGGCCTAATCCGCGAGGGCCCGAGGGAGCAGCAGCAGGCGCTACAGGTTCATTGACAAGCCTGAGGCGATCGGGATGAATCCCCGGGGTATTACTCGAGCTCGCGGGCTGTGTTGGAGGAGCGGGTTGCTCAGGTGGCCCACGCCCACTCTGT